CCAGCGGCTGGAGACCTCCTCTGCGCCAAGGTGGAGCCCCAAGCTGTGAGCAGGGACGGCCTGTCACCCCCGCCCTGTGGCCGGGCCGGGGACACAGCTGCAGCCAGAGCAGCCCAGGATGCTCTCCCTCCCCAGGACGCTCTCTCACAGCTGACCAGACTCGGTGAGGCTCAGAGGGTCCCGGCCTCACGGGTTCTGACCCAGTCCCTCCTGCCCCCAGAGGGTCCCGGCCCAGGTACTGGGCCCCAGCCCCAGAAGCAGCAACAGGCTGCACCAGCGGCACAGAGGCTACCGCAGCGGGGGTTGCCGCTCACGGAGGGCCAGCAGCAGGCTGGGCAGGGGCCACCCGCACCGGCAGCCCGAACCTGCCCCACACGGGCGCCTGGAGCTGCTGCCCCAGCGCCGGGGCCTGGACACGCCAACCTCAGGATATACATTTGGTCCACTGGCCCCAGAACCAGGCAGGCCGTGCCGTCAGGGCCAGGGCAGGCTCGGGGGCCCTGGAGAGGACCCTGCAGCCTCCTTCCCACACCTGTCCCTGAGCACCGCAGCCACAAATGCCCTGACTCGCTGGTGGAGCATGAGGGCCAGGACGGGGGGCTCTCCCCTCCCTGCCGCGCCAGCGACCGTCCCGCAGGCACACGGATGCCCATCCGTTCCAGGTGTGGTCACACCCCCAGCCTCCTGCTCTGCAGATAAGGGAAGGGAGTGGCTAGCTGGCCACAGGCTTCCAGATGCTGGACAGGGTCCCACTGGTGGAGCACGGCCGCAGCCTGGACTCCCACCGTTGCCTGACACCACATCTCCCCTCCCAGGATGCCTGCTGGGGTGTTGCTCCCGTGGCCAATCCCTGCCGCCGGCCCATGGTCCCCAAAGCCACCGCCTGGCAGGTGCCTAGAGGCCAAGTCAGGTCCAGAAAGGGTCAGCTGTCGGGGAGGGGCGCCAACTGGAGCACAGGCCACGTGTGGCTGGAGCGCGGTTCTCAAAGCAGATGGTGGTCAAGGTGGGGCCGGGACCGAAGCTCGAGCCTCGGTCACTGGGACTCTGCAGTGGCCAGCCCCAGCCTGAGGGCCCTCTGGTCACCTCGTCAGCATCAACTGGTCTGAGAAGACTCCTACTGATGACAGGAGACCCCGCCGCCGCATGTGCATGCCAAGGGCTTAGCAGCCCCATGACGGCAGCAGGGACCAAGACATCTAAGCTTATCATCAGGTCACAGGAGGAAACTGTCACCTTAATGAAAGTGGGAAGTGGAGACCCGCAGCAAACACACCTGGGGGAGGAACGAAAGTGTCCCCCAAGGTCTGGAACCAGCAGGGAGCCTGTGACAGCTGCTCCAGCCCGGCACAGCCGCGGGAGAGCCGGCCAGAACCATCAGGCAGGAAAAGGAAGAAAGAGTATTAAATTGGAAAAGAATAAATAAAATGCGCTCTCTTCACAGGTGATAAAAAAAAACACTTGTGACTCCACAAAAAAAAGTTGCCAGCACAAATATACGAATTCTGCACAACAGCAAGGTAACAAGCCGGTCCACAAAAGCCAGTTGCATTTCTAAACAGGAGCAGCAAACACGCAAAAAAGAAAATGAGGAGAACGGTGCTATCTACCACAGCAGCAAAAAGAATAACACGCTTAAAAATAAACCTGCCAGGGGGCCTCCCCGGGGGCGCAGCGGAGGAGCGCTGGGCTGCGAAGCTGCCCACAGCCTCTGCAGCGCCGGTTCGATCCCCGGCTGCTCCCCGGCCACCGGAGGAGGGTCCCACATGGCGCGCAGACCTCTCCTGCCGCCCGCTGCTCCCCTCAGCAGTGTCCTTCGGTCCTTCTGCCTGCTCTGCTCCCCGCTCTGGCTCTGGTGAATTCGCTCACCCTCCCGCGCTTCTGACTGTGCCCAGTGCTTGTATAAATAAATAAATAAATCTTTTAAAATTTTTTCTAATAAATAAATAAATAAATAAGCAAACCTAAGAAGGTAAATTCCGCACATGGGAACTGTACGGTGCTGGAAGAAACTGGAAACATAAATAAAGGGAGACGTTCTGTCTCCGCATCAAGGCAAACTGCTGAGTCATCCATGCTGCCCAACGCCATGGACAGAGGCAGCGTGGTCCCGATCAAACTCCCATGATTTCTTCACGGAAGTAGAAAAACAGATCCAGAATTCATCTGAAATCTCAAAGGGTCCTTCTTGAAAAACAACCAAGCTGGAGAACTCACATTTCCTGACTTTAAAACCCACCACCAAGTTACAGTCATCAAAACCGCGTGGTACTGGCAGACAGACTGTGGCACGGAAGCGTCCACCAATGCCCTCACGAGAGGGTCAGAGGGTTTCTGACAAGGTGCCCCGACCACCCACTGGGGAAAGGACGGTCTCTCCCCCCGGCGGTGCTGGGGAAACTGGACTCCACGTGCAAAGAACAAAGCTGGGCCCTCACTGAGACCCCACACAAAATCAACTCGAAGCAGCTCAAGGATCCGAAGGTAAGATCTGAAACTATGAGGCCCCTCGGAAGAAAACATAACACGAGAGATCTGTGGGGCGGCTCTGTTCTTGGACGTGCACAGGCAACAAAGAATGACCAACTGGACCTCAAGGACATGTTTAGATTTTGTGCATCAGCAGCCACGATCAGGGTCCCACCGGTGGAGCACGGCCGCAGCCTGGACTCCCACCGTTGCCTGACACCACATCTCCCCTCCCAGGATGCCTGCTGGGGTGCTGCTCCCGTGGCCAATCCCCGCCGCCGGCCCATGGTCCCCAAAGCCACCGCCTGGCAGGTGCCTGGAGGCCAAGTCAGGTCCAGAAAGGGTCAGCGGGCGGGAGAAAGTGCACGTCCCTCGGCTGAGGGGTCACCGCACGACGCCCAGGAACTGAAGCCCAAGGGCGGAGCAGCCTGACGTGCACGGGGCTGGGGACGCATGAGCACTGGTGGACACTCAGCATCGCCATCGCCAGGAGCCGATGGAGACACGAGCCTCCGACTCACACCTGTGAGGGCAGCCGCCGCCCAGACGGGAGATCACTAGAGACCCGCGCAGGCAGGGGAAAGCCCAGTGGCCCGTGTCCAGGCCCTTCCTTCCCAGCAGCCCCAAGGCGGAGGCGCGAGAGGCCCCTCCTGGTCAGCCAGGCCGCCAGTCGCCATGCACACAGTGGGACATCACGAGGGCACCCGAGGGGGCTCCCCGGCCCGCACCCACAGGGCAGCCCCGAATGTGCTGGCTGCAGCCCAGGCCACAGACCCCACACCAGCCCCACCAGGAGTCACCGCAGGAGGCCAGGCCAGGAGCAGGGCAGGGAGCCCTGCCGGGGTAGAGCTGGGAGGGGCCGCACAGCCACCCCGCAACACGCAACGTCAGGGAACCGCAACATCGAAACGGCTAGGAGAGCGACTCGCCAGCTGGGCGCAGTGAGAAAGTGGGGGAGAGGGAGCGGGGCCCCAGCAAGGCGCTGCGGACGGACGTCAGGACCACCGCGCAGAGGCAGGCCCGGGCTGGGGCCCCCAGGAGCCCTGCAGTGTGCCCGCTGCGGTCAGTCGCCCTCTTTAAAGCCGGCAAAACGTGACACTGAATTACGTGCACTTTGCAGAATTGTTGCCCCGCAGCACTGACAGCCTGCACGGAATGTGCTGGAAGGGTTTGGTGAAAGTGAACGCAGCCGGGCCGGGCCCCTTCCAGCCCGACACCCATGTCCCCAACTCCCACTCCTGGCACCCGCCCATCTCTGGTCAGGGCCCGGGTCCTGTCCAGGCCTCTTGTGACCCCCAGGCGCCGGAGGCTGCTGCTTGCACGCCCCCGCCCCTGCACCCCCCACCCTGGCTCTGGTCACGTGCGGACCAGGGAAGCCCTTGGCGAGCTGAAGGGCCTGCCCACAGTGGCCACGGCCAGCGCTGGCACTGAGCCTGAGGGAGAAAGGCCGGAGAGCCGCCCCAGGCCCCGGGGAGCTCGCTGGCAGCGCCCCGGAGAGCCATCACCCGGTGAGGTCAGGGAGGTCAGCGAACAGCGCAGAGCGCCGGCAGCCCCACAGTGCAGTGGAGTGTTCTCGGCTCTCGGGGGGTCCACCCTGCCCAGACGCCCTGGAGAGCGTTTCGAGGGCACTGCCGCGCCCAGCACACTGCCAGCTCCCCACATTCTCTGCATTCCCCGGACACACCCACCCCTCCCCAAGGCCCTGAGCGCTGGTGCCCCCCCCAGGGCCAGAGGCCGGCAGCGCCCTCCCTCCTCCCCGCCCACTGGCCCGGGAGGGTCAGCCTCACCAGGAGGGGGCACAGGTGCCACCACGAACCCGGCACCCAGCACCGCGCAGCAGCCCGCCCCACTTTGTCACGGGTCCTGAAGACACGGTGGAAATGGCCAGAAACAAAGCCCTGTCCTGGGCCCCGGACCTCTCCAGTGGCCGCAGCTCCACGGAGTGCCCAGTCCCAGGGTCTGCTCCCGCTGGCCCACTCTGAGTCTCCAGGCAGGCTCCACCTCCCCACGCGGCCCTACTGGGCAGTGCCACCATCCTCAAGGCCGGCGAGGACCTGACCCAGGAGTGGCGACAGGCGCCCACCAGGCCCCTGTGGGAAGGGGGCGGCCCTCCCCGAAGCCCGCTGGCTGGGGCCCAGGAGATGGCTGGCGCTGGCCAGCCTGAGAGGCGCATGGACCGCTAGGGTCCTGCCTGGAAGACGGCGTGGGGCAGCCCGGCCAGGGGCCACCAGCCGCACCGTGCAGACCAAAGGGCCAGTCTGAACTGGGGACAGCAGATGACCAGGTCTGGGTGACCACAGCTGGCGTAGGGCTGGGGGCAGTGCTCTGGGGGGCGCAGAGTGTTTCCTGGTGACCCCCACAGGCAGCACAAGTCAGAAGCACACGTGGATGGGCACAGGCGTCTGCCGTGTCACGGGCGGATGCGGGGACCCCTGGTAGCCCCGCCCCCAACTCCATCGACCACGCCCCCAGCCACCCCCCCACCCCGCCTCTCCCGCCCTCCCGCCCCCCAGGCAGGCGCCAGGGACACTCACTGTCCTCTCCGGGGCAGGGCAGGCCGGGCTGCGCAGGGATGCTCGGGAACACTGAGGAGAGAGCGGGCGGGTCAGTGGCCGGGGCCTCCTGGGAGGCGCCCTGCGCTGAAGCGGGGGCCGGGGTGCGGCCACAGGCCCGGGCTCGTTTTAAGCAGGTAAAGGGCATGTGAGAGGCCCACGAGGACCCTGAAGCCGCTAAGGGCACCCCACTTCCTCGCCGTCAGGATGGGCGCAGTCTTTGGAGGCCCCGGGTCGGGCGGCGCCTCGGGGGCACACGGCTCGGGAAGGGCTGGTGCAGCCACCGCGGCTCTTCTTCATCTAGAAGATGCTGCGAATTCGAAAGCGCCAGGCTTCCATAAAGGGCTCCCCAAATTGTGCGGTTCTGCCCTGCGCCTGGAGAGCGATGACCCCACCAAGCCGAGGTGGCCTGGAGCTCGGGCGGCCGCTGTCAGGTCACACAGGCTGGCGGCTCGGGTGGGAGCAGGCGTGGCTGGGGGGCCGGCCCCAGGCCTGGCAGAGCGAGCGCCCCCGTTCAAGGACCGGACGACCACGGTCCGGAGACTCCGCCGAGCTCGAGCAGGACACGCCGGCCCGGCCGCCCTCCCCCGCCCCGCCGCACGCCCCGCTTGTCCCGCACCCCGCCCTGTGCGCCCCGTGAGCCCCTCACCATGGACCACGAGCCCCTCGTGCCGGCGCTGGCAGGCCAGGCGGAAGGCCTCCTCCAGCTCCATCTGGGAGGACACGGTGCAGGGGTCACCTAGGCAGGAAGAGACTCGCTAAGGCCCCTGGCCGAGGCCAGACGTCCAAGGCGGGCCCACCGGAGTGTCAGCCCCCGCGGGGGGGCAGGTGAGCCGGGCCGGCTGGGTCAGGCCGCCCCCAGCGCCAGGTCCATGTCAGAAGCAAGCCCTGAGGGGTATGAGGCCAGTCCAGCCCCCAGCAGGGTCAGTGGTCCCAGCAGGTGGACCTCCTGGCGTGGGCACAAGGACGTTCTTAGTCTGTCCGAGACAGCGGGGGGTGGCACAGAAGCGGTGCTCTGGCCACCAGTCTCAGCCTGGCCGCTGCCCGGTCACCCCAGTGCTGGCCACCCCAACCCCAGCCCTGACCCCGCCGTCCCGCCCCGGCCCTGGCTACTGGTCAGCCACATGGGAGGGGGGTCTCTCTGGCACTACCTCCTGTCCCCTGGTTTTCATGGATGCGTGTCTGACTGGGGGTGGTGGGGACGGGACTGGGGATGCCCCGGTCTGGCCTACTGACCACCCACTGCCCTGAGAAGGTGAAGAGGAGCTGGCCCCCAACACTGAGCAGCGGCTCCGGAGCTGAGCGGGCAGGGCAGGTGCTCCCCCCTGCCCCAAGCACGTGTCCCTGCAGGAGACTGTGCGGCGCTGCCGCCGGCCGGGCCGGAAGCTGGGCTGGGCACGTACCTTCGTTGTCCACCCACTTGAGGGTGAGCGGGTGCCCGGTGTGCAGCCCGCACATGTCTCGTACCTCCCCACACAGCTCCTCGAAGGTGGTCGCGGGGTCCAGGCTGGTGACCAGGAGGTCCCTGGGCAGAAAGGAGCAGACGCTCACCCGCACGTTGAGCCCGCTCACCCCCATTCTCCCCAAGAAAACACGCGGCCCTCCCCAGAGCACTGGCCACAGCTTCCCGAGGCCACCGCGGTGGCTGGGCCTTCCCAGACGGCGCTGAAAGGGGCGGCGGTAGGAAGCACCTCGCAGGCACCAGGTCCTGATCCCGGGGAGGCGTGGGGGGCCCCGTGGCTCAGCTCGAGCCCTGCACACCACCAAGCTCCCCATGCCGGAGGGAAGGGGCCGCCTCCCGCAGGACAGGGCTGGGGGCAGAGTGACGGCCACAGCTGCCCGTGCGGAGCCCGCCCCGAGCCCTGGAGGTGGGGGTGCCGGGCAGCTGCTTCCCCGCAGGCGTCTGAACCCTTACGCGTGCTTAAGCGGGAAATCTCTGTCCACAGGCAACACACCCGGGGCCATCTGGCTGCAGGCGCTGCCCACTGGGTGCCCACCTTGGCCCTGGCACAGCAGCCGGCCGGCCCACAGGCCTTACTCTGGCCACTAGAACCGACCACTGCTGCTCCCAGACCCCCGGTTCTCCAGGGCGTACCCCAGCCTGTCCTGTCTCAGCGGGAGGGAGACAGTCACAGAGGGGCCACGCAGCCCCCCAGCGGGCTCCCGGGGTGTGGCAGCCGCACTCCTGACCTGGCGCTCCTGCCCGGCCCCCGCCAGCCCCTGGCCACAGGCGCTCTGGAGTGGGGGCAGCCAGCCCTGCGCCGCAGCCGTCCACCCGGACCACTCCCAGCCGCTCCTCTGCTCCCCCAGCAACCCTCACGCCCCCCGAGGCCAGGCGGGCGCCGTGAAGCCCAGGGACCGCAGGCGCAGCTGGCCCCCCGGGCAGGCTCCAGGCTCCGCGGGCGGGCGGGCTGCGGCCGTACCGGCCCCTGTCCTGCGGGAGGTGCCCCTTCGCTCAGGCGTGGGGAGCCGGGGGCGACCGCGCACCCTTTGAGGCCGGCGAAGTGGGGCGCCCGGGTCTCCAGCCTTGAAGGGCCCCACGGGACAAGGGGAAGCTACACGGGGACCAGCAGGAGGTTTCAGGAGCCGGGGCTGTGCCCAAGGACCAACAGGCCGCAGGGGTCCGGGCACCGGGCGGGGCGCTTGGGAAAGCACCCACGGGGGAGAGAGGTGGGGGATTCGGGGAACCTGGGTGCTTGGGGCAGAAAGGAGGAGGGGTGCGGGAGGGCCGGGAGGGGGGGGAGGGGGGGCGGGTGGGGGGAGGGGGGTGGGGAGGGGGGAGAGGTGAGGAAGGGGGGGAGGTGGGGGGGAGAGGCTGGAGAGGTGGGGTGGGAGGGCAGAGGGGGGGGGAGGAGGAAGATGAAGCTGAGGAGAGGCCCGGGAGGGGCGGGGTGGGGGGCGGGGGGATGAGCAGGGCAGGGAGGGCCTGGCGCGGAGGGACAGGAAGGAAGGGAGGGGGCCGCCTGCCCAGGAAACACTGGGGGCAGGAGGGAGGCCGCCGCCCGTGACCCCAGCCTTCCAGGGCCGGGGTGGGTGGGGGCCCCGGGCTCCCCACCTTGCCTCCGTGGAACGCTGCCTCCCTCCCGCCCCTGCCACCCGGTCCCCGACCCCCACCGGCCCGGAGGAACCGCTGGGGCTCGGCCTTCCTGGGGCTCAGGGTCGCCTCGGCCGGCGGAACCCCAGGGGCCGCCCAGACGGCAGAGGGCCTCCCCCCAGAACCCTCACTGGCCCACCCCAGGCCAGGGCCCCTGCCAGGGGCCGCCTGAGCACCAGGGGCGCAGGAGCGGGCTGGGGAGCCCCAACAGCCGGCACTCACAGGCCGGGCCGCTCCTCCTCTGGCCGAGGACGCCTGACCGGGCGGAATGCCCAGTGGCCACGCTCACCCCTGGGGCTGCGGCCTGTCCGTGCCCCCTGCCCCGCCGGCGGGGCGGCTCCCGGGGCCAGCCGGGGTCCGGCTCCCCTTCCACACCCCAAGGAGCCGCCAGAGTCCCCCGGTGCTGCGCCTTCGCCCCCCAGACGTCAGTGGCCACCAGGGTCCAGCCCTCCAGGCCACGGCCAACCGGCACCAACCCCTCCCCATCTCCCAGCAGCCCCCCCCCCCGCAGGGGAGGGGAGGGGGGCACGGGAGAGGGGAGCAGTGGGGGGAGGGAGTGGGGGCCAGAGTGCAGGGGGCGGGGTGTGTGTACAAGCGCGTGCAGGGGCGCGGCGGGCGGGGTGGGGGGGTTTGGGAGTTGCAGGGGGAGCAGGAGGGGGGGTGTGTGCAGGGGGCCAGGCGCATGCGGGGGCGCGGGGGGGGGGGGTGGGGGGGGCGGGCAGGCCCTCCCCGGGCTGAGCGCCAAGGAGCCCGGCCTTCCCCATGCCCAGCCGCGCAGGGGCGCCACCTTCCCTTCGCCTGTGCCCCCCCAGCAGGGACGGGGAGGGGGCGACCCCGGATTCTTCTATTTAAAAGGCACCATCGTGGGCACCCCGGTCCTCGCAGGTCTGCGCTCGCCCTCCACGCCCGCGCCGTGCCCCCCGCGCCCCCCGCAGGCCCGGGACCCGACCCCGGCCGCGAGATGCCCGCGGCGACGTTCCCGCGGGCCCCGGCACCTCGGCCCCCCCCCCCCGACGCCCGGGCCCGGAGGCGCCTCGCAGTCCCCCCGCGCCGCGCCGCGCCGCGCCGCGGCCGGGACGCCCGCGGGAGCGCGACCGGCCCCCGACGGCCCCGACGGCCCCGACGGCCCCGACGGCCCCGACGGCCGCGACGGCGGCGCCCTCCCGCGGGCTCACCCGCCGTAGTGCGCCTTCAGGCGGACGCGGCCGCCGCTCCCGTCCATCTTGGCGCCGGTCCTGCTGGGCATGGCGCGCTCCGGCCCGGTCAGCGCCGCGCCGCGGGGGCCAGCGCCCTGGGCCGCGCCGGGCCGGGGCGCCGGGCGAGGCGGGCGGCGGAGGCGGGGCAGCGCGCGCGCGGGCGCCGGGGCCGCGGCCGTCGGCTGGGGAAGTGGCCGGCGCGCGGGCGCGCGGGCGGGGCGGGCGGGGCGCGCGGGGGCGCGCGGGCGGGGGCGCCCGGGTCCCGCGCGCCAGGCCCCGAGGGGCCCGAACATGGCCGACCCGAGGCCCAGCCGGCGGCCAATCGCCCCGGCGGGCGGTGCGGGCGGGGGTGGCGGCACCTGCGGCCAATGAGGGCGAGGCGGGGCCGCCACCTGGGCCAATCCTCGGGGACCCGGGCCGCGGCCCAATGGCGCGCGCGGGGCGCACTACCTGTCGGGCGGGCGCGGCCCACCTGCGGCCAATGGGCGCGCGCGGCCCGGCCCTGCCCGGCAACGCGCGACCCCTCGGCGCACAGGCCGCGGCCGCGCCCCGGGAACGGCGCGGGGCGCGCCCGGCCCGGGCCGGACTCCGACTCCCGAGGCGGGCGGGGCCCTCGGCGGCGGGGGCGGGCAGCCCGCGGGGCCCCGACCGGCCAGCGCGCCGCGCCCTCGCCCCCGCCGACAGGTGCCGCGCGCCGGCCGGGTCCGCCCGGCTGGTTCTCCCGCCCCGCCGACCCGAGATCCCCCCGCGGCGGGGCCTGTCCGCACTCGCCGGGCGCGCCGCCCGCCCGCGGGCCCCGTCCCGGGCTGGGAGCCGGCTTGGCGGGGGTGGCCGGCCCGTTTCTCACCCCGAGGCCCAGTCGGTGCGCTCCGGCACCTGGACCCCTCCCCTGAGAGGTGCCTGGGGTCTGGGGCCCAGGTCGGCTGCTGGCGGGCCTCACCTGGGCGCCAGGCAGGCGCCCCAGACCCGGTCTGCAGCGCCCTCGGCCCTGCCCCTCTGCCAACGGGCCGCCCCTGTGGCCTCCTTGCCCTGCCCCCAGCCGCCTGCCCTCCCGAAGCGCCCTCTGCCACCCCCGCCTGGCCAGCGGTCAGGTTAGCCCAGTCACTCATTCCACACATGCCTCCTGGCGCCTCCTTGGTGCCAGACACCAGGTGACCTGGGTAGCCAAATGGGCACCGCCCAGATGGTCGCAGACGCCACCCTCCCCTGGAGATGGCAGGAGAAGCCAGTGCCTCCCCCCATCCACCAGAGGGGGGCACGACCTTCCAGAGCCCAGCACCACACCCACCCCAGCCGGTGACAGCCCCCCACCCCCGCAGTGCCACCCCCAGGGCTCCTGCAGGCTGCCCTGCCGGCCACAGTCACTGCACCTTTGATGGGCTCCTGTCTGCCTCGCTGCCCCGCTCCCTCTGGTCAGCAGCCTTTAGCCTTCACCTGGTCGCAGACCCCAGCCCCAGCCGCCGGTGCCTCCCAAGACCTCACGATCCTCACTCCGCTCCCGCACACCCTGCAGCATCCCTGGCCCCCCGCTGGCGCCACCCACCCCTCAGCCCCAGCCTGCTCGTGCCCGCCCCTGCGCCAGCCCTGGTCCCAGCTCAGACCTCGGTCTCCCTGTTCCTCTCGTTTCGCACCCCACGGTCAGGCCCAAGCAGACCCTCCTGCGCCGGGACCTGGCCGCAGCGTCTCCTTAGAACAACAGCCCGTGCCCCTGTGTGGCGCCACGCCCCGCTGCCCGGCACTCCCAGGAGCAGCCCACCGCGCCCACAGGACCTGGCCCCTGCCTGCCCGCCCTCCCACCGTCCTCAATCCGCAGCCCCTGCTTTCTTCTCCCCGGAGCTCCTTGCCCTGGGCCCCGAGCACCCCAGGGCCCTTCCCAGTGACTCCTCCAGGCCACCCCTGAGCCGTTCAGAGCCCCAGGCTGTCCCACAGGCCTGAGGGGACTGGGAGGGGCGCAGGGGGCGCGAAGGGACAAGAGGGAGCTGCCCTGTGAGTGTGACCCCAGAAGCCAGTGTGGGAGATCAATCACTGTGCTGGCCCCAGCCGTACCGTCAGCCAAGGGCCTCGCTGGGGGCCTGGCCTGGCATGGGGGGTGGGGGCTGTGCCTGCCGGGGCCTCTGGCATCTCGGTCCTGCCTCAAAGCCTGGTCAGGCCAGGGAGGGCCGTGGCAAGTTCAGGCTGATGCCCACTGACAGCCGCAGGCAGGCCGGGGGTGCGGTCTCCTGGTCCTGGCCGTCAGACACGCCCCAGCCCACGGACACAGCACCCTGGCCACCCAGCACCCCCCTGGCTGGGCCCACGTCCCAGGGAGCCCAAGGGTCGGGCCGGCCTGCAGACCTGACCCGCCACTGGGGTCCTCGGTCCTGGAGCTGGTGAGGGGCCCAGCGGTCAGCCCTCTGGATAGGCTGGGGCTGCTCCAGGAGAGGTCAAGTCCGCTCCCGGCCCCACTGGCTGGAAGGTGGGGGTGTTAGCAGGAAGGACCCCCAAACCTGCCTGCTATGAATAGGTTCTGCCATCTGCCCCATAAAGACAAAACACGCGGGCCTCCCTGTGGCACAAGGGGTGAAGACGCAACCTATGAAGCTGCCCGCAGTCTCTGCAGCACGAGCTCCATCCCCGGCCAGGGAGCTGCCCACAGGGCGCAGCAGACTCTCCCGTCTCCCCGCTGCTCCCCTCAGCAGTGGGTTTCAGTCAGTCTGCCTGTTCTGTTCCCCGCTCTGTCTCTGGGGAATCCTCTCACCGCCCCCCCCCCACCTCTGGCCTGCACCCAGCTCTTGTGTGCATACATAAATAAATCTTTTTAAAAAGAAAGACAAAACTCGCACTTCATACACAAGACCTTTACCAGAAGGAACTTGGTGCACAGAGAGGAGGGAGGATGAGTCTCCCCATGAAACACCCAGTCTCCCCCCCCCAGTGGGTAATGCCCAGCCCACCAGGGTCAGCCCAAAGCGGGGCCACCGAGCGCCCCGAAGCCCGGCCCACTGCACCGCACCTGCTGGCGGGACCACAGGCCTGGGGGAGGGGCGTGGGAGTGGGGAGGGCAGGTCGGGGAGGACAGCAGCAAAATCAGAGCCCCGGTCTGTGTGCGGGCCGCCCTGCCACCTCCCCGAGGGGCTCTGTCCTTTCTGGCTCTGTCCTTCCATGGCCCCCTAGTCCCCAGCCCCCCTAGAAGCCGGAACGGCTTCTTCCTCACGCGTCCCAGCTCCCCCTGCTCTCCCCAGGCCTCCCCCAGCCAACCCTCTCTCCGCAGGCCCAGGCGGGCAGGAGCCCTGAACCTCCCCCACCGGAGACCGCACCAGCCGGGGCGGGTCTTGGGGTGAGCCCTGCCTGGGAGGCTCCCGAGTGCCCCCTGTGCCCCTGCTCCCGCGGTGCCTCTTCCTCCTGCAGGGTGGGCTCCTGGGTGCCCGCTCGCGAGAGTGCCCGCGCCCCGCGAGGGAGGACCCGAGGGTGAGGACGCAGAGGGCCTCATGGGTGCCGCGCCCGTGGGCGCCCAGCACCGGGACGTCCCTCTCCGGCTGCCTGGACGCGGTGGCTGCGGGCGTCCCTGGCGGGGCTGGGGTGCCTCCCAGGGCCAGTGGCTGCCCCGCCACGACCCGCTATCTCCACGGGAAGCCGCGCCGGGCGCGCTCAGCCCCGAGGTGGGGCGCGGAGGCCCCCCTTCCCCCAGCGGGAGTGCTGGTGTCGGCGGGCCGGCGTCCCTTCCCGGCCCCTGCCCCGCGTCTCTGGCGAAGCTCCCCGGCGCTCAGCCACACGGCGCCCGGCCGCGGCCGCAGATGTTTCCTCCGGCGGGAGGCCAGCGGCGCGTCACGCTGCTCGCTCTTTCCGGCGGATGGGGACGGCCGGCCGGGAGCCGGGCCAGGACGGGGTGTCAGCCAGCCGCCCCTCCCGATCCTGCCCGGGACCCCGGCGTGCGCCCCCCAGACTGCAGCCCCGTGGGGGCCAGAGGCCTGACCAGCCCCAGAAGAGAGCTGGGTCTGCAGTCTGAGGTGCAGGGGCGGGGGCGAGGGCTGGTGCAGAGGCCGAGTCCCGGGGCGGGGTGGGGCCAAGGCCCGAGTCCCGGGGCGGGGTGGGGCGAAGGCCCGTGTCCCGGGGCGGTGGGGCCAAGGCCCGTGTCCCGGGGCGGTGTGGGCCAAGGCCCGTGTCCCTGGGGCGAAGGCCGAGTCCCGGGGCAGGCCGGTCTGGAGGGCAGCAGGGGCACAGGCGGGTGGCGGGAGCGCAGAAACCCAGGGGCCGGGGCGGGGGGGGGCGGGCGCCCAAGCCGGACCTCTCGGAGCAGCGGCCGCCCGCGCCTGCGATCCCGTCGGGGCGAGGGCCGGCCTGGGCCCCAGCGACGCGCCGCCCCCCGCCCCGCTGCCCCTCCGCCCCGGCGGCGCGCGCTGGGGCCGCTTCCCGGCCCCTCCCGCGCCGTCGGGGCCGAGGCTCGCGGTCAGGCGCGGGGGGGCGTGACGCGGCCCGGCCGGCAGAGGGCGCCCGCTTGGACCCGCCGACCCGCGGACGGCCGGGGGCTGTGCCCGGTGCGCGCGCCCGGCCTGCGTCCCGTCCGCGGCCCGCGGGGGGGGCAGCGCCCCGGGAGGCGAGGGGCGGCGGGGCCGGCCGGGGCGCCGAGTGGGGCCGGCGGGGCTGAGGCTCCGCGCAGGCGCCTCCGCCCCCGCCCCCGAGGATATTTAACCCCGGGCCTCCGGCCTCGGGGAGGCAGCGCCCCGCGCGGTCGCCATGGCAACGCGGGGCCGCCGCGGGGGCGGGGACGGCGCTGCCCGGCCCATGGCAACAGGTCTGCGGCGCGGCCCGCGGCCCTCGGGCGGGGGCGGCCAGCGCGGGTGCCGCCGCTGCCCGCCGCGTCGGGTTTCAGCCGGGGAGGGACGGGCCCAGGGCCGGGCGCTGCTCGGTCCGGCCGCGCGCTGAGTCAGCCTTTGGGCGGCCCTTGGGGGCCCGCAGTCCGGAGGGGGGAGCCGCGCCCTCGGGAGGCCCGGCTGGCTCCACCTCCTGCGCCGGCTGAAGACCGGGCTCCAGGCTGCCACCGGTCAGGCGGCCCGCAAGCCGAGGTGGACAGCCTGCCCAGCAGAGGCGCCAGGCCCCCCCCTCCAGTGCGGGGTCCCTCCAGGACAGTGCCCCGGCCTCCTCTGCTGGGCCCGGCAGCCAGGAGCTGCACGACGGTCCGTGTGCCCCCGGAGGTGGGGGTGACGTGGGCGCGCTGGCCTGGCTGAGCTCAGCGGGCAGCAGCAGGTGCTGTCCTGTGGGCAGAAGCCAAGCCCTGGGCCCTGGCTGGTAGGAGCCCTCTGAGCTGGCTGCAGGGAGCCCCCTCCTCTGCTCTGGCAGCCTGGGGAGGAGGGACCCAGAGGCCAAGGCCGGGAGCCCCGACGGGCCAGGACTGCACCCTCCCAGGGGCCCACACACTCCTGCTCAGGCCCCTCCACAGACCCCCAGGGACACTGGCTCCTGCGCCTCCTCCCCAGCTCAGGGACTCACATCTCCCTGGAGACAGCAGGTGTGAATGCTGCCGGCCTGCCTGGACCCCGCTCACTAGGGGTGGGGGTGCCGCTGGACCCCACGTACCAGGCGCTGGGGAGCCAGGGCAGCAAGGTCCATGCCAGGAGTGAGTGGCTGGGAGGCAGGAGAAGGCTGCGCCAGAGGACTCGCCTCTCGGGGCCTCTGCACCCCCTGCGAGTGCCACCGCAGCCTGGCCAGGGCCAGGTGACCAAGGATCCGGGGATCAGGGTCTGGGCCCCGAAGGACGAGCAGCAGCCACACTGGGCAGGGACTGGGCAGGGCGAGAGACAATGACCTCAGCAACGGTCTTGGGCTCTCCGCACCGCAGACCCCCTCCCAAGGTGGCCGTGACAGTGACCACAGGACGCAACGGACGTGGGCCCAGCAGGTCCGGCGCCTGCCCCTCAGCCCTGCAGAGCCCCTGCCAGGCCGGGGCAGCGCCCACCACCGCTCGTCCCCCAGCACACCTCCAGGTGCCGTCCACACGCCTGCAGCTGCCAAGGCTGTTTCCAAACGAGGTCATGTCCTGCTTTGTGTGGACCTGGATTTGTGGGCGCCTATCCAACTCAGCACAGCGGGGCACCCCAGGAGCGGGGGTGGGGGTGAGGGCCAACAAGGCCTTGCAGAGCCGTGTGGAAGGCCTCGTCCCCACCAGCCCACCCGCCGGCCTTCCGGTGTCTGCCCGGTCACCCGCCCGGAACAGACGCCACCTTCACGAAGCCGGTCTCCTCCTGGCCTGTCCCACGGGCAGGCGGCCACCGAGCAGATGGCGGCCCCACGTGGGTGCCCCGGGCCCCCAAAGGCCAACCCTCAATAGGTCCCCGTGGGAATGGCAGGCGGCGGGGAGGGGCCGCCTCCCACTCTGGGCCCAGTGGACCCTGCCGCTCCTGGGCCTGGGCTCTCCCTCACCTCAGTGCCCGGTGGGCGGCCGGCAGCTTCAGTAACCCTTCCAAGGCTTGTGCCCCACCCCGGGTGCTCCCCCCTCCATGGAAGGGGTGCATGAGCCCCTGGGTTGGAGGGAGGGAGGGAGGGGTGAGAGCGAGGGCCTTGGTGCTGGCCAGCCTGGCTGCCGCCCTGCTGGCCAGAAGAGGCCCAGAGCCCAGACTGAGCAGATGGAGGCTCTGCGGCTCCTCAGCCCCACCCCCACCCTGCAGCAGTGCGAAAGCCCCAGCCCTGACTGTCCCCCCAGGGCTGACCAGCCCTGCGGCCTCGGCCTCTGGGGAAGTGAGGGGCTGCGCTGGCAGGCGGTGTGAGTCTGTCCCGGCCGCCTGTGCCCCCCGGCCTCGGGCTCCTGTGACCCTGGCCCGCGGCCCAAACGCTGTAGCCAGAGCCAGCAGCCAGGCGCCCTCCCTTGGCCTGTCCGGGCAGGCGGTGCGACGAGGACAGATGGGCCCGCGGGCACCCCTCGGGCACGCGTCACCATGCTCCCCTGGAGGGGCCGGCCCCGGCCGGCCCCACCGTCGTGTGGCCATTCTCTTCCGGGCGTGGGGACCAGCGCCCGGAGTCCGATCCCGGACTCGGAGCTGCCCGTGGGGTCTCGGCGACGGCCATCACCACCCGGGCCGCGGAGAGGCAGGAGGCTCGCGTGGCTGCGGGCCACGGGGCCTCTGCCCTCCTTCCTTGCCCTGATTCCTCGAGTCCTCCAGGGCGCCTGACCCCCGCGCCCCTGCTGATGCCGCGGAGGTGGCCACAGGGTCAGCCAGCTGGCCACAGCCAAGCTCCTCTGCCTGCTCCGAGGCCCGAACCCCGTCCCTGAAGCCCTCTGCCCCAAGCGCACCAAGGCCTGGCGGGAGGGGGCGCCAGGCCGCAGGGCCAGACTCGGGCCGAGGCTCGGAGCAGGGACGGTGCTTTATTTCGTCCTGTCCACCGAATCCCGAGACGTGAGCTCCCCCCCCCACCCCCCAGCCCCCGCAGAGCAAAGTCCCGGGGTCCGGCTCGTCTCCTGCACCAGATCCTCCCTCCAGGGCCCTCGGCCGCCAGGCCTGCCCGGCAGGGCTGCTGGGGTGCGTGGGCGCAGGCGGCGGGTGCCCCGGGAGACGGGCGGGGCTCACATGGTGTAGGCGGCCCAGTACACCACGTTGACCGCGGCGAAGGCCGCCGGGAACACGGCGCGGGCGTAGATGTCGATGGTGTCCGCGTCGATGGGCTTGAGGAGCGCTCGGAGGCCCCCCCGGCCGCCCGGCAGGGGCCCCCCCTGCTTCTTTGTCTCCCCCGTCTCCACCTCCACCGACCGGTAGGAGCCCATGAGGTTGCCCGACACGCAGCACTGCCTGCGGGTGGCGGCCAGCTCCTGGGTCACGCCGGCGGCCGACAGGGAGAACAGCACGATGGCGTTCTTCACGTCCACCTGGGGGGCAGCACGCTGAGGGGCGCCCAACAGCCCCGGACCGCCCCGCCCCACCGGCCCCCAGCCCGCGGCCCGGCCCAGAGTGGGGACTGAGCCCAGTGCTCTCCACAGCCCACAGCGCAGCGACCCTGGGCGGGCCTGGGGGTGGTCCCGGGGTCGCTGCCCCTCACCTCTGCCCTCCGCGGCGTGGCCTTGGCCTTGGCCTTCTGCTTCTTCCTGTAGTCGGCGTTGAAGTGGGCGAAGGCGTACTCCACCAGCGCCGCGAACACGAAGACGTAGCAGATCCAGAAGTACACGTCCAGGGCCTTGATGGCCGAGGCCCGGGGAGGGAGGAGCGCGCACTGACCATCAGCGTGGTCATCGTCAGCACCGTGGTGATCCCTGGAGGACAGCGGCATCATGCCCCGGCCTGCCCGGCCCCAGGTGGGCCAGCCCCGCCGACCAGGCTGCCGCTCCTGCCGAGGGCAGCGGGCCAGGGGCTGAAGGGCCAGTCCTGGCTCAGGCGGGCCAGGCGGGGCCGCTCCGGCCTCCCGCCCCCCAGCCCCATACCCAGAGACACCCTGGCGGGCACGGCGGCCTGGCTGATCCAGAAGGAGACCCAGGACATGGCGACCAGCAGGACGGAGGGCATGTAGGACTGGATGATGTAGACCCCGCGGTTCCTCCGCAGGTGGAAGTGCAGGCTGAGCCGCGGGAACTGGCCGGCTGCGGGAGAGGCGCCGTTGGGACGGGCTCCTGCGGGTCTGGCCCAGGGAGAGAGGCTGGCCGGCCGCAGGGCCCCGGGGAAGGGGACCAAGGATTCCATGGGGAGGCCCCACGAGGGTCCGTGCCTCCCTGCGGCCCCTCTGCGCCCCACGCTGGCTCGATGCAGGACAGCAGGAGCCGAAGGGGCAGGAGGGGCTGGGCGGCCGGGCAGCCCTGGGGGCGTGGCCCGAGAGCCCCCGCAGCCTTCAGCCCAAACCCCAAGAGGCCGAGAGAGACCGAGGGAGCAGATGGAGAAGGCCGCCCCGCCCCCGCAGCTCTGCCCCCACGCCAGCAGCGTCCACTGCGTCCTCAGGCCCCGGGCGCTAGGGGCCCCGGCGGGGGCCAGTTACCCGACTTGAAGTTCATCAGCTCCGTGGTGAAGCGGTAGTTGGTGATGGTGAACTGGGCCAGCTGCAGCTTGTCCAGCCCGTGGATCTGCTCCTGGCTTTCCGACCAGTAGTACACGATGTCCTCCGACGAGTAGCCGTCTGCGGGGTTCACAGGTGGGCAGCCACTCGTGGCCTGCCTGGGCGACCCGCAGGGCTCCTGTCTCTGTGGGGCGCCGGCCGGGGAGGACCTTGGCTGCCCCTCGCTCCGTGGCAGGTGGGCAGAGCCAGGAGAGCTGGCGGGACCATAGGCTACCACGGCCAGGTGGGGATCGGGCCCTGCGTGGGCCCACGGCACACTCCTGCCAGGCAGCCCACGGCCCAGGCCCCCGCGAGGGCCAGGTTCTCCGACCTTCCCGACCAGACTTCTTGCCCTTGAGGACACCCCTTCCCGATGCCTCTTGCCCCCAGCCAGGCCAGCTAAGGAGGTCACTGGCAGTCTAGTCCCTGCCCCCACAGTCGCCAGGAAGCCAGCATGGCCAGCCCAGCAGAGGCTGCAGCAGCCCCCCACCCCCCACCCGCTGGCCCCACCCTGGCCCTGGCCCTGGCCCCGCCTCGCCCCGCCCAGCCCGCCCACTCACAGCTCTCCAGGTTGCAGCATGCACTCCTGCTCGTCCATGGGGTACTTGGCCAGGTCCATGTCACAAGCCACCGTGGACGTGATCCTGCCCAGACAACACGCCCGTGAGGCCACGAGGCAGCCCAGTGGTGCCCGCACGGCAGGGAGGGGCCGAAGCCTCCCAGCCCAGGCGCAGATGCCCTGCCGAAGCCGCCATGTCTGTTCCGCGTGGGCTGTCTGCAGGGAGAGGAGCAGCGCCTCGCCCACCTCCCCCAGGCTCTGGCCAGGGCTACGCTGGGGCGAGAAGGCCCGGCCTGGCCCAGGGAGACACCCGCGCTAGAGAAGCGGGACGCTCGCAGCTCACCAGCCCCAGCCCAGGGCGGCCAGGCCCAAGGCCTGGCGCACGTCACGGGGCTGGGCAGCAAAGGCTGGGCTGCTGCAGGCCCCGTGGTGGCGTTGTGGGGAGCAAGGCCCTCGAATGTGCAGCCGGTTCCAGGCACAAGAGGCTGCAGCTGTGTGCAAGGTGACCGCCCGGCACGGCCCCGCTGCCCCACGCCTGGCAGCCCATGTCGCCCGCTCTGTGAGGCGGCCCCCGCTGGGCACTGGCCCCGGGCCAATCACCCCTGCAGGGCCGGGTCAGGACATGCTTGTTCACAGCCGCCGCCTGGGACATTGGGCAGCCAGCCACACACCCGGGGCAGCAAGGGAGGTGCTGACCCGCCACCGTCCATGTGCGCCGTCCCCAGGCGGAGCGAGAACAGCAGCCCAGGAGCTGCCCCCAGGCCCGCCCTGTGGCCCTTCCCAGAGTGGGCAGCGGCCCCACCGGGCAGGCAGCACCGGGCCCTGGGGTGCGGGGCGGGGGGCTTGACTGCCAGGGCTGGGGTGTTTGTAGCCACAACGGGACGGCACGGGCCACGGTTTACTTCGGAAGGGCCCGTTCCATGTGACGTGAACCCAAAAAGCCAGAAGACACCATTTGGGCCAAAAAGCTGTGCTACCCCGCGCCTCTCCGCGCCCTCCGCCCCACCCCCGCCCGCCTCGGCGCCCGCACCGGATGCTGTACAGGATGACCCCGTCGGGCTGCAGCCGGATCAGCTTGTTCTCCACAGTCACGTCGTGGAACCAGGCGGACTTGGCGTTCACGATGAAGGTGTCCGGGAGCCAGAGCTTGTCCACGAAGCGGCTGTCCAGGCCCAGAGTCTCGTTGGTGTGGTTGTAGGAGAGCCGGCCGTCCCGCCAGCTCTGGTGCAGGAACACGGTCATGGTGTACTCCTGCGGGGAGGCGGCGTCAGCCCCGGCCCCCGGGCCCGGCCCGCGTGGGGGGTGCCGGCCTGCCTACCATGTTTGCCTCCGAGATGTGGTCGATGCTGGCCACCTCGAGGGCCAGGGCCACGTTCACCGGGGGCCCTGCGGGGAAGAGCGGGGTGAGGCATGAGGCTGTGGAGCCCGCCCTGGGGCGGGGGACCTCTGGACGCCAGGGGCCACCAGGGGTCCACGCAAAACGAGGCCCAAGAAGGCCCGGGGCACCGGGGGCTAGCGCTGGGCCCTGAGGACTGGGGTGACCTCCTCCCCAGCACTGCGGCCGGACCCACGAGCCCCGCTCACCTCCGATGCCGGGCCGGAAGTTGCGGGCGTAGCCCTCCACCAAGCCATCCAGGTTGGGGAGCCAAGATATCTCCAGGTTGGAGCCGACATAGTCCCCGATGTCGCTCATGGCCCTGGGAATGCAAGGCCACTGGTCACACGCCTGAGGCAGGCGCTGGGCACCCTGGTGCGCAGGTGCGGCCTCCACGAGGCCCCCACCCCAGCTCCCTCCAAGGACAGGCCTCAGAGGACCCCACCCAGGCATGTGACCTCCCCTCAAAGTTCTGGGGTGAAGCGTCCTGCAGGAGGTGACCAGAGAGAAGGCCGTGAGCCTGGGGAGGGTGCTGGCCCAAACCCGAGCTGGCCAGGCCAGGCCCACGGGTGGCCCTGCAGCCCCCAAACAGCTCCGCACACCCCAAGACCTCAGGGTGTCACCCGTTCCATGGAGGCCATGAGGGGCCGTCACCCTGGCCACATCCTTGTGAGACAAGGGCAGATGCGGGGGCACGGAGGGCCAGCACCTGGGCACGGTGACCGCAGGACCCCCAAAGTCATGCCTCGCTCTCTCCAGGACAGACCCTGCCCAGGTCAGCCGCACACCCTCGCGGGCCCCCGCAACCAGACTGCTGTCCCCTGTGGACCCGCTGCACTCTGGCCGCTCTCCCTGCCTGCGGCAGGAGCCACACCCAGGCGCCCCAGGCGCCCCTGACCTCCTGACCCCCAGAGACTGCCTCCTGCCCGTCTACAGCCTGTCCCAGGGCCCCAGTTGGCTCGGTCCATTCCCTCCCTTCACTCCCCACTGCCTGCCCCTGCACCCCCAAGTGCCCCTTCCTGCCTTCGGGACTCTGTCTCCATCCCTTCTTCACATGGACCCTCCCTCTTGGCAAGCGCCCCCACACCTGTCCCCGGGCCTGTGGCAACGGGCCCTGACCGCCCCCCTTCAGTGCCCCCCTCACATACCTGTTGTCCCGCCACGTCCTCCGCCCTCCACCCCACCTTCCTCTAAGGCCAGCCTGGCCCCCCCGTCTGTGTGCTGATCCCCACCTTCCCTCGTCCTCCCAGAGCCTCTCCAGGACGTTTCCAATCAGGCACGTACGCACCCATCCCCCACTTCCGTCCTTCCGTCCATCCCCCACCCCCACCCCCCACCCCTCTGTCCAAATGAGGGTGCTGCACAGTGGGGCTTTGGGTGGGGACTGGAGGGGCAGCTGCCTCTTGAAGAGTTGAGGGGAGATCAGTCTCGAGCTCCTCCAGGGCAAAGGGTGGACCTGGCTTTGAATGAGAACTGGCCTCCCCATTGCAACACCATGCGGCGGCGGCATGGGGAGGGCCGCTCGGGAAGGGGCAGCCACGGGTGGCCGGCAGTGGCAGGGCAGCGAGGCCCACGGGGGGGGCCGGGCCGGCCTGCACGCTCAGGAGGTTGGAGCCCCCAAGGGAGCTGCCCAGGGTGGGGAGGCCCCAGCAGGGAACCAGGCCGTGTTCACATCACTGGCTTTTTGAAAAAGGTGGAATCTGAAGCCTGAGAGAATGAACTTGCAGGCCCACCCCAGCCCTGCCGGGCACCCTGCCCCGGAGGGCCACCCTGCCCAGGCGGGGCACGGGGCGGTTTGGGTAACGAAGAACAAGAAAGAGTTAAGTGGAGTCCCGGCCCCGAGAGATGGAGGTTGCCTGAAGGTCGAGGAAGGACCCGAGCCAGCTGCATCTTGGGCTGAGCTTGGCCGGCGCCCAGGACGAGGCCAGCAGCCACCGTCCCCCCGCGGCCTCTCCCCCAGGGCTGTGCCCGCTCCGGTGGCCGTCGGGCTCGCTGCGGGGCAGGCCCTGAGAGTCTGGCTTTGTGGCCCAGAGGCCAGGAGGGAGCAGAGCGCTCCCCAGGACGGCCTGTGGCTGGGGCCGGGCCCCCTCCTCGGGCAGGTGGGGGGAGTGTGGGTGGCCAGAATGTGGCAGGAGAGACCCCCCACCCCGGCCGCCTGACAGCCCGGCTCACGGGGCTGGGGCCCTTGGGGTGGACAGACGGAAGCGGAGGCCGCAGGCAGGCTGGGCTCACGGGCGCTGCCACTGGGGCGCCAGCAGGCCTCTGGCCGCTCGGAACACAGAGAGGCGGGCGGCCGCGTGTCCTGGAGACGGGGAGGGAGGTGGGCGCTGCGCAAGCCACCCCTCCCCCGCCTGCCGCCAGCCCAGCCCCGGAGCCAGCTCCGCTCCTGCAGCACCAGCCACGCGCAGCTCCTCCACCCAGCAGAGAGGGCCTGGCCACTGGGGCCGCCACGGCTTCGGGGAGAAGCAGGCCCAGCAGGGGGCCACCTCGGGGTGGGGGGGCAGGGGGCCAGCAGGCTTGGTGCCTGTGGGGAGCCAGTCTTCAGGCTCGGGGAGGGCAGGGCCTTGCCCCAGCCACAGGCACTGCAGCCTCTCCCCCTACAAGACTCCCCACCGCCCTTGGGGTGCAGCCAACTGGGCAGTGGCAGCAGGGACAGAGCCTCCTGTGCACCCCTGTCCCCCCAGGCAGCCCAGGGTGAGGGAGCGGACACCAGGGAGGGGCAGCTGGACTCTGGCTTCCAGGGGGCCCCGGAAGAACAGCACTGCCCTCTGGGAGGCCACACACCCTGAGCCGGGGCGCCCACCCAGCACCCAGGGGCTAGCTGAGAGCAGGCTGTTTCAGACTTCAGAAGGCAACCCGGGGTACATGTGGGCTTGGGGGCCTTGGAAACGTCCCGCAGGAAATGTGCGATGAGACCTGAGGCCCTGCGGCCTGGACGGCTGAGCTGGGTATGGAACTTAACCTGCCCGGGGCCCGACAGGCACCGCCACGTGGCCCCCCTGCACTCCTGCTGCCCCGGCTCTCAGCCCTCCTGCGACCCTGAAGGAGGGAGAGGAGGGCCATCGGCCTGGCGGGAGGCCCAAGGCCAGCGAGGGCAGGGCCGCTTCTGTGCTGCCCTGGATGCCCCTCGACCGCATCTCGAGACCCAGGCCTCCCGGCCTGTCCCTGCCCCGACAGGCCCCTCTGCCCACACGCGTGCCTGTGCTTGGGCCTCAGCCCTCGGCAGGTGCAGGCTGACGTCAGGCCCTGACCTGGGCCGCAGCTGGGCACCCGGGGTGGGGACGCTGGGCGCCTGGTGTCCTCGGGTTTCCTGCAGCCCTTGCTCCGATGCTCGTCCAACAGGCCCCGCGCAGCTGCTGCGGCCCAGCCAGGCCCAGAGCGCAGACGCGGACCCCGCGCCCACCCAGGCTGAGCCGAGCGAGGCAGGCCCACGGCCCGGAAGCCGCCGGTCTCAGCCCCTGCTCTGGGGGGGCCCTCCGGGCACTTAGACACGGCGGGGCCCTGCCACCTCCCACCTGCACCGGGGTTCTGCGGGTGCCAGCTGGGGTGGCTTCTGGAAGGGGAGCCCCGCGCCCGGGCCACCCTGCAAGCACCGCACGCGGCGCGAGGCAGACGCCCGCGGCCCCAGAGGCGCCCCCCGCAGGAAGGGGCACCCCCCCCCTTTCTAGGCTCTCCCCTCCTCCGGCCTGCACCTCAGTTGGCCGGAGGGGCGCGCGCGCCTGCGGGCAGGGCCAGCCCGGAGCCGGCAGGGGAGGCGGGAGCTCCGGGCCTGAGCGCCCGGCAGGAACGGGCAGCGGCGGGCAGCGCCCCTCCAGCCGCAGGCGGGTCAGCACCGGGAGGCGGACAGCGCCGAGGGCCCGAGCCGGGCGGCGGGAGGGGGGTGCGGGGGCGCGGGAGGGGGCGCGGGCGGGGGCGCGGGGGGGGGGCCTGGGGGCGCTGGAGGGGGCGCGGGGGGCGCTGGAGGGGGGCGCGGGGGGCGCGGGGGCTCTGGGGGGCGGTGGAGGGGGCGCGGGGGCGCTGGAGGGGGGCGCGGGGGGCGCTGGAGGGGGGCGCTGAGGGGGGCGGCGGGGGGGCCGCGGGGCGGGGATGCAGCCGGGACTGGGGGTCCCGCGAGGCGGCCGCGCGCTCACCTGGCGCCGCGGGGGAGCCGCGCGCTCGCAGCAGCAGCAGCGGCGGCAGCAGCCGGGCCAGCGCGTCCATGGCCTCCGGCGGGGGCGGCGGGCGCGGGAGTCCGGCGGCCGCGGCGCTCGCGAAGTTGCTTCCCGGCGGCCGCCGCAGCGGCGCGAGGGCGGGAGCGCAGGGCGCGGGCGCGGGCGCGAGGGAGGACGGAGCGCGGAGCCGCCCCCGAGCCCGCCGCGCCGCCCGCGGCCGCGCGCCCCAGCAACGACCCGCGCCCCCGCATCGGCGGCCCCGGCCCCCCGCCCCCCCCCCCGCGGCGGAGGCCCCGCTGGCCGGTGTGCGCGGTGGCCGCAGGCGGGGCTGGCTGGGGGGGGCCGGGAGGTGCAGCCCTGCAGCCCGCGGGGGGGGGGGGGCGCCCACGCCCCCTGCAGCCCCCCGCCCTGTGGAGCAGGAACCCGCGGTCACTCTCAACTGGGGGGGCGCCCGCGGCCCTGCTCCCACCCTGCCGCCGGAGCCCGCTCTGCCCCCCCCGTCCCCCCCCCCCCCCCCCCCTCCCCGGCCCGGCGTGTCCAGGGCAGCCAGCGCCCCGCGTCTATTTTAATTCCTTTGAACATGAAAGTTGCGCAGAAGTTTCCCTCAAACACCCCGGCCGGCCGGGGCTTTCATCCCCTGGTCGGGGGCGGCAGGGGGCGGGGGCGGCCTTTGCGAACACCCCTGCCGCCCTGGACCTGCCCTGGGGGGCGGGCAGTGGGCCAGGGTGCGGCGGGGCGGGGGTGCCCGGGGTTCCGAGGCCCAGAGCACCAAGAAGCCCCAAAGCCAGTGAGGGGCCCTGGAGGCCAGTCCAGGCTGGAGCCCCGCCCCAGCTGGAGCGGTCATGCTGGCTCGGGCGGCCTGTGCCTGTCTCTCGGCTGCGGCCACCCCCCCAGGCCTCCACAGACTTCCGGGGAGCTGGGGAGTCACCGGGAAAGAGACCCAGGGGCCCAGGTCCCCAGGAGCAGCACTCCTCTGCCTGCTCCCCACGCCGCTCCCCCCCTCGGCCTCTGGCTCTAATGGGTGCTTAAGAATGTCGGGGTCCGGGGTCCGCAGGCCTGAAGCCGCCAGGGCGGGCGCAGCCAGCAGTGCAGTGCGCGCGCTCCGGCTCCTCACCCGGGGCCGGCCTGAAGCTGGGTCTCTGCGCCCGGCAGGGCACCCAGTGCTGCTGGGGTCCCTGGCGATTCCTTCCACCGCCTGAGCAGGTCTAGGGTGAGGACGGGCAAGCCCTGAGCGCAGGATCCTCACCTGTGAAAGGGAGGTTCCCCTCCTCCACAGGAGCGGCCATGCCCGGGAGCCCCAGCCCAGCCCCTGGCCTGGGGAGCCTTTCTCGGTGCCCCTTCCGGCCACTGACGGAGGCTGCAGCCACACAGCCACCGCCGCTGGCCTGGGGCCCGAGCGCAGCGCTGCATGAAAGGGCGCATGAAAGGGCATCTCTCTCCTTGACCAGGCTGGAGACCGCGTGCGCCCTGCAGGGCTGGGCTGGACGCCTCTGCTGCCCTGGCTCGGCCTGTCCTGGGGGTTCGGAGAGACCCCGCTCTCCAAGGGCAGTGTCTGTGCAGGTCTGTGCCTCGGGCAGACGCTGGGGCCCCCCGCCCCCGGCCTGGGTGCTGCCGTCACCCCAGAAGGGACTGGCCCGCCCCGGAAGGAGCAGCCATGAGGAAGCCCCAGCGCCACCCAGGTGGACCCTCCGTGTCCAGCCGAGCGGCCCGTGGTGTCTGTTTTTTGCTGTCTCACGTGGAAGACCGTGGCGTTTGGCTCGGCTGGCGCTAGGCAAGGCCACTGGCCTTCTCTCCCCGCGGGCACCGAGCAGGGTGCAGGCCCGCGGCCCCGGAAGGCCTTCACGGGGCTTCCCCACCCCCGCCACGCGCGCCTGAGCCGCCCGGGGCTGCGGTCAGCAGGCCTGCGGGGTCAGCCTGTCTTCCCAGGCACGGCACCCTGCGGCACGGGCTGGCAGCGCGCACAGCCGGGCTGGGAGCTGGCCGGGGCCGCGGAGGCAGCAGGCGGCCCTGGGAGGCAGAGGTGAGTCACCGGGACCCGGCGGGGGACGGCACAGGCTAAATTTAAATGCCGGCCTGGCCTGTGAGGTCACTTTGTTATTTTCCTTGGAAAATGCACCAAACAGAATGGCAGTGACAAAGAGAAGAGGCTCATCGAGCTGAGAGTGTGGTTACGAGGCCTCTGGCTTCAGGCGGAGCCGCCCCCTTGGAGAGAGCAGGGCTTGGCAGCGGTCACGTGTGGGCGCCCTGGGGGGCTCGCTGGGGGCAGGTGAGCCTCGTGGCTCTCAGTCTCCGGCCTGGGCCATGCACCTGCTTGGCCCCAGATGCAGCTGCCCCCGGGGAGCGGGCGTGCAGGCGGCCAGCTGGTGCACCGCGGGGCCCGTTCTCAGGCTTTGTGCTTTTCTCAGCGGCGCCTCCAGTGCTTTCACGCGGCAGAGAACGGAAAACACAAATCAAGACTTCTGCCAAAAGAGCTGTCGCCCAAACCAGATAACTCGCTCCCTGCAGGGCGCAGGACGGCAGCCCCGCGAGGCCCGGGGTGGGGGCACAGGGCTGGGACCCGCGGGCAGGGCTGTGGGTCCGGCCTCGCGCTGCAGCCGGGTGCTGCAAGAATGGAGGCAGGCCTGACGGGCTCTTTCCTATTGGGCGCTGGCTGCAATGGCCAACCTCCCTCCCTCCCACTTAGGGGCCCCGCGCCCCCCATGTGTGTGGAGTGTCGCATCTAAGGGCTGGCCGTCCCTGCCCGCGGCCTCACCTGCTGGAAGGCAGAGACGAGAAAGGAAACAGGAGACGCAGCTCACACGTGCTCTGCGCGCGCAGGGGTCTGAGCAAGAGCAAACAGGGAGTGTGCTGTGGGGGGGGCGTACAGCAGCTGGCGCAGACCTTTTGGGAGGGAACATCGAGCTGAGACTCACAGAGCGTCCCACCCCGTGTGGAGAACACGCCAGTTACCGCGAGAGTCAGGCAAGCTCTCCAGGCAGAGAAGACCCCCCCCAAAGGCCCCACGGCAGCAACAAACTGGGAATCCCAAGGAGCAAGAGCGGGCTGTGTGGGCTTGGTGCAGGGGGGAGCAGGGAGGCCCGCCGGGGCCAGGCCACACCCCCCCGGAGGTGTGGCCATGAGCCTAGGTTTTATTTCATTTTATTATTAATTAGCTCTGCTGAGATACAGTTTACAGGCAGAGTTCACTAACTGTAAGTACATAGTTTGATGCAAAACCAGCATTTGTTTCTTTCTGCCTGGCTAACTCCACTCAGCAGAACACCTCCAAGGCTCCTCCTGGTGCCTCTTGTCTGAACCTCATTCCTTTTCAGGGCTGAGTGATACTCCGTTGAATGGACGTGGCATGGTTTGCACTGGGCTTTTCCACGTCTGCTCACTGTGAGGGGGGCTGCTGTGAACACGGGTCCACAAATATTTCTTCAGGTCTTAAATTTCTTTTTTTTTTTAAAGATTTATTTATTTATGCATACAAGACTGGGGTACAGGCCAGAGGTGCGGGGGTGGGAGGATTCACCAGAGACAGAGTGGGGAGCAGAACAGCTGGATCCACTGAAAATCACTGCTGAGGGGAGCAGTGGAGAGGTCTCCTGTGCCATGTGGGCAGCTCCCAGCCGGGAATCGAACTTGCGCTGCAGAGGCTGTGGACAGCTTCATAGGTTGCGTCCCAACCCCTTGCGCCACCAGGGAGGCCCCAGGTCTTAAATTTCAATCTGCTCTTAGATTCGCAGAGGCCAGCACACCAGACAGCCCAGGCGCTCCTCGGGGCACAAGCTAAGAAGTATGTTTAAAAAGAGGAACTCAGGGGCCTCCCTGGTGGCGCAGGCGGTTGAGCACCGTGCTGTGAAGCTGTCCGCAACCTCTGCAGCATGGGTTCGATTCCCAGCCGGCCAGGGAGCTACCCCCAGGGCGCGGCAGACCCCTCCTGTCTCCCCGCTGCTCCCCTCAGTGGTGTATTTCATCAATCTGCCTGTTCTGCTCCCCGCTCTGTCTCTGAGGACTCCTGTCACCCCCAACACCTCTGGACTGTACTGTTTTGGGTTTTTTTTTTTTAATTTAAAGAGCAGGTTTATTAGAGAAAGGGACAGGAGAGTAAAAGACACTTGCACAGACACCGGCGGTCAGGAAGGGCTGTCCCAGAAGAGACAGGTTTGCTGAGAGAGGCCTGCGTGGTTGCAGGCGGGCGGCCTTGAGGAGAGCGGCCTCCGCCGAGGGAGGTCAGGGAAGAGAAGGCCGGGCAGGTACGGGGCACCGGCAGGCAGGAGGCTGCTGCCCTGCAGGGGAAAGAAAGCACCTGCACAGTCACAGGTGGGCAGAAAGACGACCTCCTGCACCCCAGTTCTTGAATGCATAAATAAATCAATCTTAAAAGAAATAATAGAACAGAAAAAGGAAGCCATATTAATTCTCCCAGGCCGCCCCCCAGCCCAGGAGGACAGGCCCCCCTCCTAATGTTCCCTCCAGCCCCCCCAGCTGACAGTCTGTCTCCCCCACCAGGCCCGCCCGCACGCCAGCTGGCCGTCCGGTCGTCCCCCAAGCCGCTGGGCCGCCGCCTGGGCACCGCTGCCCGCACCGACGACCCGCATCAGCTGCGGCTTCTGTGCAGCTGTTGGTGCCGGCGCGGCTGGTCTGGGGGTGCGCAGTGCTGGTCTGGGGGTGCGCAGCGCGTGAGCTCAGGCTCGCGGAGAAGCCCCCACCTGACACCCGGGTTTGCAGCTCCCAGTCCTCGGGAACCCGCCCGTTTGCTGGACTTGGTCCCCCTGCGCCCTCGTCGGGGCGAGGGGGTGAGCGTCCCCCTCTGGGGGTCCCCGAGGGCCTGGGCGAGGCCGGGGCCAGCCTGGCTGCCGCGGCCCTGCGGGCGCCCCCGCGAGGCCCCCCCGCCCGCCGAGGGGAGCCGCCGGGCAGCGCCGCGGGGGGGGGGGGGGGGGCCAGCGCCCGGGTCCCCTGGCAGGGCCCTCAGGGGGGGCTGGGCCGTCGCGGGCCGCGGGCGATGCGGGGGCGCCGCAGGGGGGCGGGGCGGGGGCGCGCGGGGGTCCCCGCTCGCGGGCGCTGGGGAGGGGCGCGCGCTCTGCGCGGGGTCCGGGAAATGCCGACTTGACGCGAGGCCCCGAGATCCGCCGTTGGCGAAGCCGCCCCCTCGGGCCCAGGCGCCGCCTCTCCACTGCGCCTGCGCCGCCCCGCGAGGGGGACCCCCCCCCCCCGCGTCTCTCATGGAGCCGCCCGGCGCGGCCGGCACCCGAGCACGGCGGAGAGCGGCGGGGTCCCCGGGCCGAGGCCAGGTGGGTCCCCCGCGGCGGGTCCGGGCGCCGCCCCGGCCCTGCCGCTCCCGGAGGCGAGGGGGGCTCTCGGGGTGCGCCCCAGCCCCCGGCCTCGCGCCCCGCCCCCTCCGCGCCTTCGGGGCGCACCTGTCGCCACTCCCGCCCCGGCGCCCGGGGAACTTGACGCGGACGGAACTCCTGTTTGAACGCGGGGCGCAATCCCGGGTTTGCCTGAAATGCACCTAAAACAGCCAGACAGGCCGGCCCCCGCCCCCCCAGCCCCGCGGCGACGCCCTGGGGCCGCCCCCAGCCCCGCTGCACCCCCGCCCGGCGCCCCCCGGCCTGGCCTCCCCGGGACGGGACGGGACCGCCTTTGGGGTGGACACACCTGCCTGGCGGGAAACCCAGCAGGCGCCGCCCCGCAGGCCGCCCTGGCTGAGCGCGTGTCCTGACAGGACACCCCGCGTCCTCACCGCCCGGGACCCCGCGCCCGCGCGCGCCTCAGACCCAGACGGCGCGAGCCCCCGCCCAGCCCTGCAGGGAGGGCCGGCCGGGCCGCACTGCTGGGGTGACCCCCGGGCCTGCCGGGGGCGGGGGACAGGGGTGGGCGCCCAGGCCAGTCTGCGACGTGGCTTTGCTCCCTGGGGAGACGCCCGAGGAGGGACCGCCGGGCCGTGTGGCAGGAGCCGAGGGGAGACACGGCCCCCCGGCCCTGCTGCCCCGGTCCCCGGCCCCGCCGCGAGCCGGCCACGGGCGCAGGCGGCCCCGGGTCAGGCCAGTGTGTCTGCGAGGCCGGCGACACCCTCGGGCCGGCGGGCCGTTTCCTCACCTGGGTCCCTCCAGGCCTCTTAGCCTCGTGTCCCTTCACACCGCCGCTGTCGCGAAATTCCATTTCGGGGCTTATCAGTGATCCGCGCCGCTTTCCTCTGACCTTCCGCAGACGCCCATGGAGGGACAGGCGCGCCCGGCCCCGCCCCGCGGGGAGCAGCGCCCGGACTGCCCGCCACCCATGGGAGCCGGAGCCGGAGCCGGAGGTCGGGGCCTCCCCAGGAGCCTCTGCCTCACGCCCGCGCTTTGTTCGGGGTCTCGTTGAAAGCAGGGGGGCTGCTGGGAGCGGGACCCGGCGCCCGGGCCCTTCTGCCGCCCTCTGGCCGCCGCCCGCTCCTCCTCCCCGGAGCCGGCCCGCCCAGCCGTCCCCGGGGTGGCAGGGCCGAGGGCCGGACAGCCCCCACCGGAGCACCTCCTGGCCCAGCCCCGCGGGGTCCCAGCGAGCGTGGCGCCCCTGACCCCCGCACCGCCCGCCTTCTCGGTTCTGGGGGCGGCCCTGGCAATGCCCACGCAGACACCTGGCGGAGGCCAGTCGGGAGGCCCCTCTGCCTGTCCCGCCGGGCGCGGCTGCCCTGAAGGGCCCTTGACATGCTCAGAACAGACCCATGGCCCAATGGCTCTCACGGTCTGTCCCTCGCGGCCCAGTGCACCAGGAACAAGGCTGGGGACAGCGGCGAGCAGGGGCGCCTGTCGTGAGGCCCTGGGGCCGCTGGTGCTATCTGAGAACCCTGCCCGCGGGGCCTCGCACCTGGCCCGGGAGGGCCCGTGCCCACTGCCCACACCAGCTGTTGGCTCTCGGCTCCCAGGCAGAGATGAGCGGTACCTGGAGCTCGAGGCTGGGTGTCCCCCTGCGGCCGCGGAGAAGGAGGTGGACAGCTGGTGAGGAGAGGGAGGGGCAGCGGCTCCTGCCTTGCACCGCAGCCCCGCCCTGGGCTGGGCGAGGGCAGCCTGGAGGACAGCGGGCTGCTCTGTGTGAAGTCCAGGGACGGGGCAGGCCGCGGATGCCGCCCAGCGGGGGAGGACCGACGTGCGAGGTCGGCTCCAGACCTGGCAGCTGCGCAGGAGCCTGGGCCGCCTGGACCAGCTGCACGAGGAGAAGGGGCTTTTCATCCAGGAGACCAGGTGAGGGGCCGGGGCCTGCCCCAGCTGCCCGCCCTGCCCCACCGCTGTCACCCTGCCCACGCCCACCGCAGCCGGTCAGCACCAGCCCCAACAGAGGCCCCGGAGCATCTGAGGGCCACACGGAGAAGCTGGGGTGAGGCACGGCTGGCACCGACCACCAGCCCCCAGAACCGCTGCCGCCACCCCCACCCCGTCTGCGGCTCTGGGCAGCTCCTGGAAGGGCCGCAGACAGCGCAGACAGCGGGACTCTTTCCTGCCACATGGCCAGGAGGAGCCGACCTGGCCCCGCCTCGACGTCCGCCCATCACAACACCTCCTGCCCCCCAGGCTCCCGAGCCCTGCTCACTGCCCTGCTGGACGCCAATGGCCTGCCCCCAGGACGCGCATCTGGGGAAAGCGCGAGCGACTTGCATCTTGCTCCCCCACCCAGGCCCCACAAGCCTTGGGCTGTTCTCACGTCCCCTTGGGGCTGGGGTCTGGCAGCCGCCCCGCCCGCCCGCCGCAGGGCATCTGGGGAGCAGTGGGCACCCTCTGTGCACCGTGGCTAGAAACCACCTGGAGAGATGAAGGGTCTGCACCCCCGGGGCAGGGGAGCAGGCACCAGCCGGATTCCGCTTCCCCAGGGCCGAGCTGCTGGCCAGCCGCCAGCGGACGGAGCGCATCAGGGGCCAGCAGGAGAGGCTGGCGGCCGAAGTGGCCGAAGAGACGGGGGCCAAGAACATGTAGGTGTCCACTCTGGGCGGGGGCAGGGGCTGGTCCAGCTGGAGCTCAGGGGGCACTGGGCCACCAAACCCGGGCGGTTCCAAGCACCTGCTGCGGGCGGGCGGGAGCAGACACCGCCTAGATGACCCTGGGGCGAGAACCATGGCCGTGAGGTCGGGGCCGGTCCCCTGCAGGGCTTCTGGGCGGGCAGTGAGCGTGTCCTCTGTGTCTGCCCCCAGCGCGGCCGTGGGCCGCCTCCAGGCCGCGGCCAGACGCCTGTGCGCGGAGCTGGACCAGGAGCAGGCCCTGCAGGACACGCTCCAGGCCGCGCTGCAGGAGAGCGAGTGAGCGCGCGGGCGGGGGCGCAGCCCTACGTGCCGGCTTCGTTCTCAGCCGCTCAAGCGCCGAGAGGTTGCTCGGGGACCGCGGCCCGGCACCGGCCTTTCCTGGACTGAATGTTGCCATGTGGGCGGCAGAGCTGCCAGCCCCGGGCTGCCGGCTGGGGTGTGGCCGTGCGCGTCAGAGGCGCCTCCGGTCAGCTGAAGCACCAGGGGCTCACGGGGGTCTGACCCGCTGAAGGCCGCCCAGCTGGGCCGGCCCGGGAGTCACTGCCCAGCACAGGCCCTCAGGAAGGGGCTTCACCCCCACCGGGACTCGCTGCGGGCCCCGCCCTCGCCCTGCCTGAGCCCCACGCCCCTCGGCCAGACAGATGCGGGCGGGAGGTGTAAGGAGGGTGCGGCGGGGCCCTCCCCTCCCCAGGGCCCAGCCGCAGTGGCCCCTGACGCGCAGGGTCCAGTCACAGCCCTGCCTGCCTGCGTCCGGGGGCTCAGTCCGGACGCCGACCCTACAGCCCTGAGTCTGGCGGGGCAGGGCAGGGGACAGGGTGTCTGCCGCGCCCCGGGCCGCCCCTGCCGGCAGCTGCTCACTTAAAGAAAACTAAATTTGAAAGGGGCGCAGGGACGGCTGCGGGGAGGCCTGTGCCCCGGCTGCGGTGGCCCCTGAGGTGCCCTTGGCAGCAAGAGGGGATCATTTGGGGCCACCTGGAGCTGCTCTGTCCCCAGCCGGGATGACTGGCCCTCAACCAGGACTGCCTCCCCCCAGGGCAGCAGGCCCAGGACCGCCCATGCAGCAGGCCCCTTGCAGTGGTGCCCCCACAGGGCCCCTGCAGATATCAGGTGCCACAGCCCCCTCCCCGGCGGGACGGTGCAGGGGGTGCCGGCTGCATGGTGGGTGCAGAACTGGACCAGCAGACTGGGCCGCCAGAGATGGGGCTGCAGAGGGGGATCCCCACATCTGGTGGCTGTGCCCCGGAGGACGCTGGGGGGAGCTGACCCTTCGGTGGTGTCCAGTGTCCTCTCGGTGTTCCCACCCGGGGGTGCCGGCGCCCGGCCTCAGCCCCCCAGCCCTGGCCGAGGTGAGCAGGCGCCTCCGTCCGCAGGAACGCCCTGTGGCACCTGGAGCTCCAGAGGGGGCAGCTGGAGGACGTCCGGAAGTCCGCCGAGGAGGAGCGCGCAGCTGCCCAGCACTGCCACCGGGACCGGGCGGCCGAGAGGCTCCGCAAGGAGAGAGAGGCCCTGGGCAGGGCAGAGAGGGGCCGTTTGCTGCGAGTCAGGTCAGGGCAGCTGCCCCCTGGCCACTGCCCTCCCCACCCTGGGCGGCCCCCTCCCCAGGCGGTCCCGCCACTCCCCACCTGGGGCCCCACGCGCCCCCACCCCATCTCACCGCTGACGCCGTCCTGCCCAGGGCCGCCCTTTGCCAGACCTACTGTGCTGCCCAGAGCCCTGGGCCCTTGCCGGGCCTGGCCCCGCCCCTGCCAGGCCTCCCAGCGCCAGCCTACCCAGCGGCCCCTGCCCCGGATGAGCCCGCACCTGGGGTGCTCAGGAGAGGGGCTTAGGTGGGGCCAGCCAGCTGGAGCAGCTGCCCACGCTGCCCTCCCACGCAGGAAGTCCTCGGCGCTGCAGAAGGAGCTCGGACTCCGGCACCAGCGGCTGGTGGAGGACGCTCAGAGGAGCCACAGGGCGGCCGTCAGGTTCCTGAAGGCCTCGCTGGGCAGGTGAGCCCGCGCGCCAGGTCCCACACCCCTTCCTTCCCAGGGCCGGTGTCCTCGCTAACGCGTCACCCACCCGAAGGGAGGGCAGTGCCAGCTGCGACCACCCGCCGCAGAGGCCGCCTATGCAGGGCTCACGCCCAGAGGGCCTCGCCTGCCCCGCTGAGCCCCTTGCGGTCCTGTGCTGACCCAGCCGCCCCCCGGCCCCCTGGACCCCCCAGTCCCTCAACCCCCCGGCCCCCTGAGCCCCCGGCCCGCCACAGCTGCACGGCCTGTGCTCCTCCAGGATCCAAGAGCAGAAGAGGCGGGAGGAGCTGGCGTGCCAGGAGCACCTGCAGAGACGCATGGACGCCGTGCTGGCCTTGAAGAGCAGCATCTCGGCCAACAGGGTGGGCGGCTGCGGCCCAGGCCGTCCACGCGGGGCCCGGGTAGGGTGGGCGGTGAGGCCTGCGGGGCCCGGCCAGGCGCCCCCACGGCTGCGTGACCCCTCGCTCTGCTCCCAAGGAAACGCTGCGCAAGTTTCAAGCATGGGGCCAGACCAGGGCCCAGCGGGCGGCGCGGGAGGCCCAGGCCGAGCAGGAGGGGGTTCTGGCCCAGGGCGGGGACGCCTTCAGGCTCCTCCTGCACCAGCGCCGGCGCCAGGAGCTGCAGGCCCAGCGGCGGTGAGGGTGGGCGCGGGCGCGGCGGGAAGGGGCTCCGGACCCCAGCGTGCTGCGCCCCCACCTCCATCCCGCAGCCCCCCGTGCCCAGGGGCCCTGGCCCTGCGGCTCCCCGCCCCACACCTCTTCTCTTATTCCGCCGTCCCCGAGCCCTCGCCCCGCACGCTGGCCATCCAATGGAGTGTCGTCTCCGGCGGCTCCCCTCTGGACGCCCAGCGCTGGCCCCGGCTGCCCGCCCGGCCCCAGCGCACGCCTGGCCCAGCGCTCCTCTGGTCTCCTTCGACCTGTGCCCAGTGCCACCTCTGGGCCCCTGCCCCCAGCACCCCCGGGAGATCCTCCTTGGTCTGCAGGGCTCAAAACAGCTCCCCCGAGACACCAGGTCCCCGTGGGGCCCCCACCCCAGGGTCCTGGCAGGAGCGGGCATCCCAGCGCCAAGGCCACTCCCCACCCCTGCTGCCCTTCCTGCCGCATGGCTGTGCCGCGCCCGCCTGACAGGGGTGTCTGGCCACAGTGTGTTCTCTCACGCTGCGCTCCCCGCCCCAGCCCCCGCTGTGGGCCAGGCGGGCCAGGGACTCTCATCCCTGGCTTCCCAGGAGCTTCGGCCGGGCCAGCGGAGGCCGAGTCCCTGGCCTGGCCGCCGTGCGCTCAGGAGCCCGCCGTGCGCTCAGGAGCCCGCCGTGCGCTCAGGAGCCCGCCGTGTGCTCAGGACCCCGCCTCCCCAGGGCCTTCGAGGAGGAGCAGACGCTCCGGAAGCAGGAGATCGTGGCCAGGATCCTGAGGGAGGGCCTGGAGGAGGAGGCCAGGAGGCAGAGACAGCACCCCCCAGCCCGGGCCCCGGCCACCGTGAGGCACAGGACCTGGGCGCACGTGGCCAGCTGCGAGGGGGGCAGGGCGGAGCCCCCCACCCAGCCGCTGGTGAGCGGGCCCCGGGGGGCTCTGGAGCTTAGGGAGGGGCCCTGCAGGAGGCCGCTGGGCACAAGGCGCCAGTTTTAAAAAATCTTTAGCCCAGCGCTTTCCTTCCGACGTGCGTGTTCAACTTTGGACAGTTTATGACTCGGCGTCATGTGGGGTCTCGCAGCTCCCCCCGCCAGGCCCCCCCCTTCGTGGTCAGCTGGCCAGGCCCTCCTTTGCCCACTGTCCCAGCGCGCCATGCGCAAGGGAAGGGGGACTGCCACCATCATCCTTCCTCTGCCCTGCCCTCCGCACCGCCTGCGGCCCCCCGATGGCCACGCTCCCCCTCCGAGCCGGCTGAGGCGGGTCGGGGTGTGGGCCTGGCCTGACCGCCCATGGGCTGCGGGGCCTCGGTCACCATGATGGCTGCAGCGGCCAGGGCGGCGGCCAGGGCGGCACCCTCCCCATTTGGGGTCCGTGCTCCCTCCCTGCACCCTGCGGGCAGCCTTGGCCTGGCCTCCCCGGTGAGCGCAGCCGGCCGAGGCCCCGTCTCCGCCCCCTGAGGCGGGCGCGCCCCTCTCCCCGCAGCAGAAGGAGCTCACGCCCGCCCAGGACCCCTGCCTGATAAACGTGGTGTCCAGCGAGTCTGTCCAGGGCCTTGTCGGGCTCCCCAGCTCCGACGAGGAGACGCTGGCTGAGCCCGAGATCGCGGGGCTCTGGAGCGAAGGCCCCCGGGGCGGCCAGGTGGGTCCCCGGGGCGGGACCGGCAGCCTCCCCGCGGGCCACCGGGGGCGCGAGCCTGGGGTGGTCTGCGGGGAGCCGGCGCCCCCGGGCGGCGGCGCTGGAGCCTCCCTTGCACCGGCCGGGCCGGTCGCCCACCAGCGAGCAGGGGCGGCGCTGGGCCGGGCCAGGGCCCGCCGCGCCCCGAGGGCGGCCCCGGGGTCGGGGGGTGCCTGCCCGCCCCGCGCCTCGCCCGCGCCTGGGGGGCCTTCGCGGCGGCGCAGCCCGCGCTCCGCTGGCTCCGGGAGGCGCGGGCGGCGGCACCGGCGCGGGCAGGCCGGGCCGGCTGGGGCGGGGGGTCGCTGCCCAGCGGGCACACGTGGGGGGCGGGCGGCCGTGCCGGCTTCCCCGCCGCAGACCACCGGCCCCCGCCGAGCGCCCGCCCCGCCCCCAGGAGCCCCGGGAGGCGGCGGCCCGCGAGCCCGCGGGCGGGACAGCAGCGGCCCGGGACGCCGAGCGCCGCGAGGGGCAGCGGCTGCGCGGCGCGGCCGGCGGCGGGCAGGGGGCGCCGCCCTTCGACAGCAAGCCCGCGCGCCTGCTCTTCAAGGTGCGCCGGCGCGGGGCGCGGGGCGCGGGGGGCGGGCGCGGGGGCGGGGGCGGGCCACCCCCGCCCGGCCGCGCCCCTCCCCGGCCCGTCGCGAGCCCCGCTGTGGCCGCCCCAGGACTTCGACGTGGGCGCGGAGTACAGGAAGACGCTGACGCTGGTGAACGCCGCGCGCGGCGCCCGCTCCTGCCGGCTGCTGGGCGTGCGGGGGCCGCTGCGGGACTTCGTCCGCGTCCGGTAGGCGCGCGCCCGCCCCCGGGCCCCGGCCCGCCCCCCCGGGCCCGCCCCGCCCCGCCCCCAGGGGCGCCCCGCCCCGCCCCCGAGACCGCCACGTCACGCCCCCCGGGCCCGCCCCGCCCCGCCCCAGGCCCGCCCCGCCCCGCCCCCAGGTCCGCCCGCCCCGCCCCCGGACCGCCCCGCCCCCGGGACCGCCCCGCCCCCCGGGGCCCGCCCCTCCCCCCGGACCGCCCCGCCCCGCCCCCGGGACCGCCCCGCCCCAGGACCGCCCCGCCCCCAGGACCGCCCCGCCCCGAGACCGCCACGTCACGCCCCCCGGGACCGCCCCCCCGGACCGCCCCGCCCCAGGCCCGCCCCCCCCGGCCCGCCCCGCCCCAGGACGGCCCCGCCCCGCCCCCGGGACCGCCCGCCCCCGGGACCGCCCCGCCCCGGGACCGCCCCGCCCCAGGACCGCCCCGCCCCCCGGGGGCCCGCCCCGCCCCCAGGACCGCCCCTCCCATGACCGCCCAGCCGCCAGGACAGCCCCCCACACCCGCCCCGCCCCCCAGGCCCTGGCGTCCCCCCTTCCCCCACCCGGCTCCCACCCCCGCCTGCCCCCCCCTGCCCGCGCCCTGGGGGGCACCAGCCCTGGGCTCCCGAGCCGGGGCGGGTCGGGGCAGCCCCCTCCCGCGCTGACCAGGGGGCGCCGCTTTCTCTTTCTCTGCCCGCCCCCCTCGGCCGCCGCTCCCCCCCTGCAGCTTCGACCCCCCGGGCCCCCTGCCCGCCGGGATGTCCTGCCAGGCGCTGGTCACCTTCAAGCCCCTGGTGAGCGCGGCCGCGGGGCCGGGCCCTGGGGGGCGGGGGGCCGCGCTGACCGGGGTGTGTCCTGCAGGTGAACAGAGACATGGAAGGCAGCATCTCGTTTCTGGCCCAGACGGGCGAGTTTTCTGTCCCCCTGAAGTGCTCAACCAAGAAGTGCTCAGTGAGCCGGGGTCGGCCGGGAGGGTCTCTGGGGGGCACCGGGGCCATGGGCGCACGCGCACCAGCGCCGGGCAGTCGAGCCGCCCGCACTGGACAGCACGGACTGAAGGGCTCCCGGTGCCGGGGCCGGAGGAATCCTGCCTCCAGCAGCTCCGGGGCGCCCTCCCCCCGGGCCCCCACCCCACCCGCGTGTGCGTCTGGCCCCCTCGCCGCTGGGAACCCCGAGCTCCCCTCTAGGTCCTGCTCCTTCAGGCGTCGTCCAGAGCAGGACACGCGGCACCCCCGCATCCCGCCCCCGCTGCGGCGGTCAGCAGGGTGGTCGCGCCTCCTGGCCAAGGGGCCTCCCAGGGTGCCCACGGCCGCGTGGGCTCGGGGCTGCGCTGTCTACCGAGGTGCCGTTTTATTTCCCCTGGGTCAAGGCCAGCGGGAGGCCTTGGGCACACGCAGGCTCCATCCTCACGTTTCCCGCGGCGCCCTCCCCGCCCCTCGAGCCGGCCGCGTCCCCACGGTGGTCCTGGCAGACCCGCGCCGGCCCTCCGGCCCTCCCGCCCCGGCTGCGTGGCTGCGTGGCGTGCTGGGCTGTGCTGCCGGCGCCCGTCTCAGGGCGGCCCCTGCCGCTCGGTCTCGGGCCCTCGGCTGACACGGGCTCATTCCCGCCCCCCGTCGTGGGGTCCCTGTTTGCTCCCTTGCTGGTCTCCACACCTCGCCCTGCTCGGGTCAGAGGACGCAGGACACTCACCTGCCCTGAGTGCCCGGCCCCCTGGGCTGCGCTGCCCCCCGAGGGGGGTGGGGGAAGGTCCTCAGCTACAGCAGCCTTGGCGTGGTCCCCCCCCCCCCGCCCGGGTCTGCCCTGCGGGCTCCGCTGGACGGCTGTCCCACGGGAAGCTCCGTCACAGCGAGACGCTGGCCTTCCTGCCGGGGCCGGGCCCGCCTTCCCGGGCCGTGGTGAGCCGGGCGGTTCCGAAGCCTCGGCTCCGCGCCTCGCAGGTGGGCTCGGGGCCCGGCCCCCAGCTCACGCGGGTCTCTCGGCAGCTGTCCCTGGACAAGGAGCTCATCGACTTCGGCAGCTACGTGGTGGGCGAGTCGGCCTCCCGCTCCGTCACGCTGGCCAATGGCGGGGGCCTGGGCACCTGGTTCAGGTTTCTCCGGGAGTCAGAGGCCGAGGACACAAACACCTCCTCATCGCCCCTGAAACTGGTGGGTTGCTGCCTCTCCGGTGCGGCCGTCCGCTGTGTCCAGGCGTCCCCCAGGCCACTGCCCGGGAGCCTGCGGCCGGGCGCGCAGGGCCAGAGGCCCGGGAGGGCGGCCACCCCCAGCCCCGCCCGCCGAGGGAGCTGGGCGCCGGCACAGGCGCAAGCGGGGCGGGGCCGGAGGCGGCTCGGCCAGGCCACAGGTCAGGCCTGCAGGCTGGGCCGGGCCCTGACCGGAGGAGGCCCGTGAGCTCTGCCGGGCTCCCCTCTGCAGAGCAACTTCCTCGCTTACGAAGACACGGGCTCGCTGGAGAGAGTGGCGCCCAGCCTTTCTGAGCAGCTGGGGGGCCCGCAGCCCTCGCCCGAGGACACGGGGAGCCAGGAGCAGCCCTGGAGGCCCGACGATGGGGAGCCGGGGGAGCCGGGCGCCACAGGTGAGGCCCAGACCGAGCGCCCAGCCCCCGGGGCCCCAGGGCCCCGCCAGCCGCGCGGGCCAGGTGCAGGTGCAGGTGCAGGGCGTCCGGGGCCGCGGCTTTGGGGGAAGGCGAGGACACCGGCCCGCGGTGGTGACGTCCAGCGCTGTCGGCGTCGGAGGCCGGAGGGAAACTGGCTGAGGGCGGGCTGGGGAGGGCCGCCTGCCTCATCCCTGCCCGGGGTGCCACGGGGTTCGGGCGGGAGGGGAGGGGGCAAGGGTGGGAGGGCGGCGTGCGGGGCGGCCCCGGCCCCAGCCGCCCTCCCAGCTCCGCCTTCCCGTCCAGAGCCGGAGGCCGCGGCCAGCGTGGCGCCAGCGCCGCCCGAGGAGGAGCAGCCTGAGATCTCGCTGGGAGAGGTGGGCCCCGCGCGACCCCCGGCAGCCGTGGGGCGAGTCCCGCAGGCTGGGGAGCGGTCGCCGCCCTCTGCCCTGCACCGCTCAGGTCGGGGCTGTGGGCCCAGCTGCCCCCACGCCACCCCCAGCGCGGGCCCGCGGCCAGGCCGGTCGTCTCCCTCCGCAGGTGACCGAGGGCGAGATCGGCCCCTTCTCCTCCGTCAGGGTGCCCGTCGTCTTCGCCCCGGCCATCCCGGGGGCGGCCCACGCCCGCTTCAAAGTGGTGTTCAGGAACCCGCAGTGCCCAACGGTGAGCGTCGCCGGCTTCCCGCCGAGGGTGGCCTGCCCTGCGGGTCTCATGCCCACGCGGGGGACCGGCCGAGGGCGGGGGGGGGGGGGGCGCTGGACCGCGGGGGGATGGTGCACCGCGGGGGGCCCGGGGGCGGTGGCTGGCACCACAGCCCGCACCCTCACCAGCCCGTGCACACGCCCCCAGCCCCCTGGCACGAGTGCCCGGAGACAGCGTTCCCAGTTTCCAGGGAGCTCAAGTTTTCATTCTTCGGTTTCATCGCTTATTTATAAACGTTGTACATTTTTATCTTGTTGAAAGTTTTCTCTGTGAGCAAAGGCAACGCTGACGTTGCACGTGTGACAGGGCCCGGCGGGGCCCGCTGCGTGGTGGGGATCGGGCGTCGCCCCCGGGAGGCGTCGGGGACGCGCCGCCCCCTGCCCGGTCTGCCCGGCTGGGTCTGGAAAGTTGGGTCATTGAAAGGGCCTGTCATCGCACGGCGTGAGAAACCCCACGGGGCCCCGAAGGGGGGCATCTGGCCAGCAGCCCGGCCCCCCTGGACCCCACTAGCCCCTCACCGTGCCCCGCCGACCCGCTGCCCGCCCAGCTGTATTTCAGCGTCGTGGGCACCGCCGTGGACTTGCCGGTCTGGGTGCCGCGGCCCTGCGTGGACCTGAAGACCTGCATGTACGACCGGCTGTACCAGGACTCGGTCGTGATCTGCACCCGGTGAGCCGCGAGGGCAGCCCGGGCCCCGGGGGTGCGGAGTGGCGCGGAGACGGGGTCCCGGCTGGCCGCAGCGGGTGGCACGGCGGCCGGGTGAGCCGGGGCCACGCCAGCCCCAGCCCTGTGAGCTGGGTGCGAGGGACAGCTGGGGCTCCGTGGGGCCGGGCGGCTGCTCTCCGTGTGCAAAGTGCTCCGGGGCGTGGCGGGAGCGGCAGAGGGACGGGAAAGTGGGCCCGGTCACTCCTTGGTGGGCTGACCAGGACGGCTTTAGGGACGCAGGGGCAGCGGGAACCCCCAACCCCAGAAACCTGCGGCTCAGGCTGTCCCCCGGGGTGGGGGCAGCAGCCGGGACCCGGCACCCTGTGATTCAAAGAGCAATCACCCTGTGATTCAGGGTCTAGAGGACCCTGGGGTGCGGCAGGAGCCCCTGTGCGCGGGGGGCGGGGCCGGCGGCCACTCTCCCCGCGCAGAGCCCAGGCCGTGGGGCGCCCTGGCCCCACCGGCACCGGCCCGGAGCCTCCTGCCAGCCACGCCTCCCCCGCCTTGCTCTGCCCACGCCCCCCTCAGAGTTCACCTCTGGTCCAGCGGCCTCGGGGGCGGCGGGGGGGCGGCGGGAGGGTCAGCGCCTCTGTCGGGGGCAGGTCCAAGGTGGCCCTGCGCCTCCAGCTGGAGGTGTGCAAGGAGCTGCGGGCCACATGGAGCTGCTGCCGGAGACCAGCTACATCCAGGCCCTGGCGTCCTGCTCGGTGCAGCTCAAGTTCCTGCCCCGGTGAGTGGGCGCCGCCCCCCGGCCCGGCCTCTGCCAGCGGCTCCCGTTCGTGCCACAGAGGCTCCAGGCTGGCCCCAAGCCACCCTCCGGCCAGCGGCCCAGCCCCGCCCCAGGGCGCGCGGGACAGCGGGGACCAGCCCGGGCCACGACCCTGCTGCCCCCGGCCTTGCCCTGCTGCCCCGGCGGCGGCCGGTCCCTGCTGTGACCAAGTGCGGTCTCGGGCGATGGACGCTTCAGCCCCCGCCGGGCCCGCCCTCACGATGGCCGGCTGCCGGGCGTCTCCCGGCTGAGACGGCGGCGGGGGCTGCCCCGCAGAGCCGGGCGCGGGGGTCACCCCTGGGCGCCCCAAGCCCCACGCTGGCCGGCCGCGCCGGGCGGGTTGACAAGCGTCTGCCCGCAGGCACTCGCTCCCGGAGGACGCGGGGATGTACTTTGACAAGGAGACCCGGGTCCTGGAGGCCCCGATGACAATCCGAGTGGCTGATCAGGTGTGTGGGGGCGCCGGGCACCCTGGGCAGCGGGCAGCTCGGCAGCTGGCTCTGCGCTGGGGGTTCCCCGGAGCCGTCCAGTGCTGCATCCCAGGGCTTGGACAGCGAACTGGCCCCTGCAGCTGCCCCTACGTGAAGGGCTGTGGGTGAGTGGGGCCCTCTGAACCCCGCAGCCCGCCACACGCTGGGGACACACCCTGGTGGCGGCAGCTGTCCCGCCCTCCCTGCTGGACAGCGGGCAGTGGATGCTCGAGGCCGCAGCACCGCGCTGGCTGCCCCCGCCGCGTGGGGCACATTTGCCGCAGCTGCGGGGAGTGACGGCCGCTGCCCTGTGCTGCAGATCAAGCCGGTGGAGTTCACCGTCCACGCCGTGGTCACCACCTCGGATCTGGAGCTCAGGCCGCCCCTGGTGGACTTTGGCTACTGCACCATCTACGAGGCTGTGAGGACCCAGATCAGCCTGTGCAACCACTCCCTCCTGCCGCAGGAGTTTGGCTTCGTGGGACTCCCCAAGGTGCCTCGGGGTGAGGGGCGGGTGAATAGGGGGGCAGGAGGCTGCCGCCCTGGGCCGCGGGCCCCACACCGTCCAGGCGCCTTGGCCTGCAGCCCCTCCCCCTCCCCCCATCCTGTCCTGGGTGGGGTCAGCCCTGGGCCTGCCTCTCTGTCCTGGTCTCCCCTCTCTGACTGCTGCTCCCCGCACCCGCTGCCCCGCCTTCCGCCACCCTGCCCACGGCCCTGGGGGCGGTCCCTCTCCCTCACGCACCCTGCCCAAGCACCCGCGCCCCCCAGACGCGCTCACGTTGCTCCCCGGCCCTCCCTTTGGCACGGTGGGGCCTGCCCAACAGTTTGTGGACATCCAGCCCGGGGACGGCTTCGGGACCATCCTGCCCCTGGAGACCCTGCAGCTGGACGTGATCTTCCAGCCCAGCAGGGCCAAGGAATACAGCTTCGAGCTGGTCTGCAAGTCGGAGATCAACCGGTGAGCCAGGGGTGGGGGTGGGGGTGTCCACCAGTGAGCTGTGGGGTGGGGCCCGGCCGGTCCGGCGCCCGGCCATCCCCAGCGGCCGCCCACGCAGAACAGCGCCGGGCCACAGCTGTGTGCGCGTGGTACCCGTGAGTGTGTGCGTGTGGTCTGCGCGTGGGCTGTGGCAATCTCGTGTGCGTGGAGTGTGTGCACGCGTGCCCTTGCGTGGCTGTGCCTGTGGGCTTGCGCTGTGCCATGCAAGTGTGCTGTGTGCGTACATGTGTGTGCTGTGCACACACACGTGCGAGCGTGTGGGTGTGTGAGGGAGGGTGTTCACGCAGCATGTGGGCGGGGTGGGGCGGCGGGGGGCGGCACCGAGGCCGGGCTGGGGCCGGGCAGGGCGGGCCGGGGCTGGCGGCTGAGCCGAGCCGCTGCAGGTGCTTCCGGCTGCTGTGCCGCGCGGTGGGCGTGCACCCGCCCCTGGAGCTGTCCCACCACCAGATCAAGTTCCCGGCCACCGCCCTGGCCGACACGGCGGTGGCCGCGCTCTATGTCATCAACACCCACCAGAGCATGAACTCGCTCACGCACTCGCTGCCCCGCGTGGGCACGGAGGACGCCTTCCCCGTGGGGCCCACGTCCTTCGAGTTCCTGCTGCCCCCGGCTGCGCCCATCACCATCTCCCCATCGGTGGGCACCGTGCTGCCCGGAAAGGTGGGTGTCGCAGGCCGCCCAGGCGCCGGCTAGGCGTGCCCCGACCACAGGGATCCCCCCAACAGCAGATGTGGCCTCTGCCCAACCCTTGCCAGAACGGAGCCCGGAGCGTCGGTGGCCAGGTGCAGGCGGGAGGGGACCCAGCACCTCATGGGGGACGGGCACCCTGGCCTGACAGGGTGCGCAGCAGGGACCTCCCAGCAGAGGGGCACCAGCGGGGAGGACACCCTCACCTGCTGCCGAGGGAGCCCTTCACCTGGCAAAGCTCAGACACCCGCGGGCAGAGGGCCTTTACCACCCGGTGCCTTAACAGAGGCCGTTATGGCCGCCGGGTCCTCTCCCGGGCCCCGCGCCCCGCCCCCTGCCTCTTGCTCATGCCAGAGGGCAGGGGCAGGGTCTTGGCCATCTTGGGCCTCCATCACGCAACCCCCACCCAGACGACAGTGTGAGCCGGGTAATGATGCCCTGAAGCCCCCTCCCCGGCACAGTGGCCAGGGAGGCCCTCCTGGGGGAAGCCTGCTAGGCTGAGCTCCAAAGAGAAGTGTCAGGTGGGACTGCAGGAGCCAGGCAGCTGTGGACAGGGGTGCTCTCAGCACAGGGGCAGCCCCAATACCCAGGGCCACCTGCTCTCCCTGCAGAGGTGCCTAGTCCAGGTGGCCTTCCGGCCCACGCTGCCCAGCGAGCTCATCTGCGAGGAAGTCCTCCAGGCCCAGACCAAAGAAATGGAGGCCAAGTGGGTGCGTGGGGGCCCTCGCAGGGGAGGGCCTGCTGCTGGCCCCGCAGTGCTGTGCTGGCGAGGCGCCTCCCTCCTGCCCTGGCAGGCTCTGCGGGTCCCTGGGAGGTGGCCGCAGGCCCTCTGGGCCAAGGGAGGGGAGCAGTCACAGCGAGCCCGGAGGAGGCCTGCAGAATGAAAACTGGACAGAAGGCGGCACCCTGGCCAGGGACAAGCCCCATGGGGACAGGCCTGCCCCTCCAGCCCCCGAGGTGGAGCCCACGCAGCCGGGTGCCACCGAGGCCCACGCGTGAGGCTGGCTGCTGCCCGCAGCTGACAGGAGACGGGGCACGTGGGCCTGGCCCGGCCGACTCTGCCCTCCCCTCCTGGTGTCTCGGCTTCCTCACCGGTGAAGGCTGACCCCACAGTCGTGCACAGGCCCAGGTCTCGCACTGGAGGCTCGTGTGCCCCCAGACGCTCACTTGTTTCTGTGGCATTTAGGGTTTCCAAACCTGTGCCTGCCCCTGAGGGACAGCCCTCAGCCAGCCTCTCCCATAGACGCGTAAGGACACAGCGGCCCCAAGGAGGGACCTGCAGAAGCTGTCCACCTCCACGCTGCTGCTGCAGGACCCAGACCAAGACCCCGCGGGCCGGGTCTCCTCTTCCCATGGCCTGGAGCTGCAGAGGCAGGAGTTCAAGTGCAGGTGTGTCCAGGAGAAGGAGGCCCTCCCTGGCCCCACAGACCGCCTGTCTTGAGCTATGTGATTGGAAGTCTGGGGTTGTGCAGGCTTCAGGTGCAGCTGGATGCAGGTTCTGCTTCCAGGTTCCTCAGGTCCTACTTCTCGAGCACCTACCTGCCCACCCCATTGCCCTGGCCCCCCGTGTCACTGTGAACGGCCCCACCCCATGGGCAGGGGGGGATGCCGACGCCCAAGATCAGAACCCCCAGACCCCTTGGGGTGCAGCCCAAGCCCCAGAGAACTGCGGTGACCTGAGCTGCCTGCTGCCTGGGCCTTTCCGGGCTGCCCCGGAGGCAAAACTGTCTGTTGAGCTGCCAAAGGCGCCTGGTGCCTGTGTCTGAGCAGAACCTGGGGGGAGCTGACCCTCACCCCACAGGACCGCCTTGGAGGTGGCCCGAAGGGGCAGGACTGAGTGCTCTTTGCCGGCTCACTCCAGCTCCGACGAGTACCAGGCTGCGCTGTTAGCCCTCACCCGGTCTTTCAAGGGCAAGTTCGACAAGCTCGTGGTCCCCTGTGTCGTTGCCAGTGGGGACGTGACAGACAGGAAGGGCGCAGGGCCCCTGAGCTTCAGGTGCGCTGGCCGGCGGGTGGTCAGCCTCTCGGCCGCACACCTGGCTGGGGCCGGGGGCGGGCAGGGCAGGTGGCTGCCACGCCAGGCCCTCAACGCTCCCCTCCCCTTCAGCCCCCACAACACCCTGTACCTGGAGCTGTGGTGTCCCTCCGTGGCGCCGTCCATCATAGTCACGTCCGACAGAGGCAGGACCGTCTCCAACTTTGGCCACGTCGCTGTGGGTGAGCCCCGGTTGGGCCCAGCCCTGCGCACGGCCTCCCCTCGCCTCCTGCCGGGCCTGGGGGGTGACCTGACTCCCCACCCCTTTCAGGACACTGTGGCCTGAAGAAGATCTCCATTCAGAACGCAGCCCGGGAGGACCTGGCCGTATCCCGCCGCGCGGGCCCAGCCGGGCTGCGGGCGGGGGGGGGGGCGGGGCTGCGGGGCGGGGTCGGTGGGGCTGAGGGCGGGGCCTCGGGGAGTGGGTGGGCGGGGCTTCGGAGCGGGTGGGGCGGGGCTTCGGGGAGGGAGTGGGCGGGTTGAGGGGTGGGGTTGGGTGGGGCTGAGGGGCATGGCGGGCGGGGCTGCGGGGCGGGTTGGGCGGGGCTTCTGGTTGGGTGGGCGGGATGAGGGGGGGGTTGCGTGGCGCTGTGGGCGGGGCTGCGGGGCATGGGTGGGCGGGGATTCTGAGCGGGTGGGGCGGGGCTTCGGGCAGATGGGCGGGGCTTCGGAGATGGGCGGGGCTTCGGGAGGGAGTGGGCGGGCTTAGGGGGCGGGGTCTGTGGGCTGAGGGGCGGGGTTGCGGGGCACTGAGGGCGGGGCTGTGGGGCGTGGGTGGGCGGGGCTGGGGCTGCGGGGCGGGGCTGCGGCTCCACGCCCGCCACCTGCTCCTTGACGGGGCGTCCTCAGCTGGCGTTCTCCGTGCTGAACCCCAATGGCCCCTTCGTCCTGCTGAACCCCGTCACCAGGCTGTCGGCGGGCCAGGCCCACGTGCTGGCGCTGTCCTTCGCGCCCCGCGAGAGCGTCCTGGTGAGCCCGGCCCCTGAAGCCGGCCGCGGCCCGCGCCCCGACCCGCCTCCGCGCCGCCCGCCTCGGCCCCCCCCCCGCTGTGGCGCGCGCCGCCCCCATGAGGGACGTGACCCCCGCAGGCCCAGGAGACGCTGGACATCGTCACCAAGCGGGGCACGCTCGCCCTGACGCTCAGGGGCACCGGCGTGGCGTCCACCGTCACGTGCTCCGTCGCGGGGGGCGTCCTGAGCATGGGCCACGTCCTCGCGCGGGAGTCCGTCTCCGCGGGCTTCAAGGTAGGGCGAGCGGGGCGCTCGTGGGCCCCCGGGAGCCCCGCCGCAGGGGCCCGCCGCGCCCCGCAGCTGCCGCCTGCGCCGTCCTGTCCCGCGCGAAGGGCAGCAGCTGCCGGGGCGGAGCAGCCCCTTCCCTGCGCCCGCCCTGCCCGCGCTCCTGGGCCGGGTCCCCTGCGCAGGGCCTTGGCCGGCGCGTCGGGCTGTGGGCGGGCGGGCCCGGGGCAGGGCCGGGGAGAAGACGGAGCGGGAGGCGCGCCCGCCGGCTGGACGCGGCAGGGCCCCGCCCCGGGCAGCGCGCAGAGACGCGGGGCCGCCGGGCGCCGGCGGTGACGGGCCTGGCCTGGCAGCTGCAGAACCACTCCTCGCTGCCCATCGCGTTCTCGGTGCACCTGGACAGCCTGTCCGCCTCCCGGCGCGAGGCCCGGCAGCGGCTGCCCCGCTTCCTCGCGGCGCCCGCGCAGCGGGCGGAGGTCGTGGGTGAGTGGGCGGGCGCCGGGTGGGCGGGGGTGGGCGGGGCCGCGCGGGGCCATTGGGCGAGTCGCGCGGGTGGGCGGGGCCGGTGGGCGGGGCCGGTGGGCGGGGCCTGCGGCCAGGTGCGGCGGGGCGCGCCGGCAGCGCAGGGTCGGGTCCGCTCGCCCGCCCGCAGGCACGCAGAACCTCAGCGGCCAGAGCGTGTTCAGCGTGGTCCCGGTCCAGGGCGTCATGGACCCCGGCAGGGCGCAGGACTTCACGGTGACCTTCAGCCCGGACCACGAGAGCCTGTACTTCTCCGACCGGCTGCGGGTCGTGCTCTTCGACAAGGTGAGGCTCGGCCGCCGCACGGCCCCTGCCCGCCGCCGCGTGTCCGCGGCGCTCTCTGCACCCCCACTGCGGGGGCCGCGGTCTCTCAGGAAAGAAGGGATGGCCCCACAGGCTGTGGTCGCGGGCGCTGAGCCGGGGGGCCTCGGCGCCGGTTGGGGGCCAGCGGGTGCAGAGAAGACCCCCGCCCCAAGCCCAGCCCCTCCCGGAGCCGCAGCCCGGGGGCAGGCCCAGACCGCTGTTGCCTGTTCCCAGAAAATCTCCCACCAGATCCTCCTGAAAGGCGCCGCCCGAGAGCACATGATGTTCGTGGAGGGCGGCGACCCCCTGGACGTGCCCGTGGAGTCCCTGGCGGTGACCGCTGCCCTTGACGCAGAGCACAGAGAAGGTGGGCCACGGGCGGCACTGGGCAGTGTCAGCACCCTCCCCGCCGCACCCTCACCCTCGGCCTTCCAGCCCACCCCCTGGGGGCGCTGCCAGCAGAGGTTTTGTGAAGAACAGCACCCCCCCCTCCCGCCTGGCCCCGCGCCACACGCCCCCCAGCCACACCTTCCCAGCGGGCCAGCCCCAACTGCCCTGTCTCCAGAGGCCGAGGAGCTAAGGACCATCCTGGTGACCCTGCACTACGTCCAGTTTGACACAGATGAGCCGGCTCCGCCTGCCAGCCGGGAGCTGCGGGTGGGCTGCATCCGCACCACCCAGCTGTCTCCCAAGAAGGTGACCACAGCTCGCCCTGGCTCAGCTTCAGCCCCAGCTGCCTCCCCCAGCTGGGCCCCGGCTGCCTGGGCTGGCCTTCCTGGGCCTGGCACGGGCTCCCGCCACGGTGCGGGTGGGAAACCCACCTGCAGGGAGGAGAGGGCGGTGGCTGGCCCTGTGCCCACCGGCCCTCACCTGCCCGCCCACCCCACAGACCGTGGAGTTCAGCGTGGACAGCGTGGCCGCCCTGCAGCATAAGGGCTTCACCATCGAGCCCTGCAAGGGCTCTGTGGAGCGCGGCCAGACGAGGACCATCAGCATCTCCTGGGTGCCGCCCGCCGACTTTGATGTAGGTGCCGTGGGTGCCTGCCAGGGGCCCGCGGGGGGCAGGGCTGCTTGGGGGGCTGTCCAGCGGGGCCAGCAGTGACGGCTGCCCCCCTCCTCCACCCCTGCCCTCGCAGCCGGACCAGCCGCTCACAGCCTCAGCCCTGCTGCAGCTCCGGGGCGACGTGAAGGAGACCTACAAGATCCTCTTTGTGGCCCAGGTGGCCACCAGCTCCTGAGCCCAGGGGTCTCCCCCACACCGCTCGCGCCTCCTGCCCACCCTCAAAGCCTTCCCTCTCGGGGGACTGGGCTGGACCCCAGGCTTGGACGGCCCCTGCTGGGCAGGTGACCACACGCAGCTCTCTGCGTGCCCCCTGGATGCCCGCAGACACAGCCGCTTCCTGCTGGACACGGAGAGCAGGGATGAAGAGCACCCCTTCCCTGGCCCCCACAAGCCCACCCCACCAGCACCTGTGCAGCCTTTCCAGGCCTCGGGGCAGATGCCTCACAAGCCTGTGAATAAACTGAGCCGAGTACAGGGATACGACCTCCATGTGCCAGCCACAGTCCATCGGCAGCCCAGTGAGGTGTGGTCAGAGCCTGGGGAGGCAGCACCTCGCCCCCACAGGCACACACCCGTCTGTCCATAAAGCAAAAATTCTGACTGATCTCTGCCTGGGAGTTTAAGTGCTTTCTGGGGTGGGTGTGGAGGCACTGGGGGGACAGCTGGCGTTGGGGGGAGAGCACAGAGCTGGTGGCCCCGGGGAGGAGGGGCATGGCTGACAAGGAGGGCGGGGAGGAGAAGGGGCTGGCGAGGAGCTCCTTCCAAGCCCCTGATGCCTGGAGACCCCCAGAAAGAGTGAGCACACATCAGGGACACCCTCTGTGCCCCCAGCCTCCTGCACAGGGCTGGCTTTTCTCTTGTCCGCATTGAGTCTGGGCCTGGCACTGGGCCTGCCAGCCTCCGTTACCCCAGCTTTCTGGAAAGCAGTGGGCTGGGCAGTCCCCCCAGGTGGCCCTCCTGGGCCAGCACCAGGCAATCCCAGCCCACCCACCCCCCCAGAGCCGGTAGGAGAGCACAGCACCCCTGCCTGGGGTGGAAGGGTGTCCCAGCTACCCGGGAGCAGACTCGGACACCAGCTGAGCCGTGGCCTCCCCCCAGCTCTGCTGCCTGGAGCCGCTCCCCGCCTGGCATGTGCAGTGCTGCCCCTAGAGTGCCTGGGTGGGACCTGTCTAGTGGGCAGACCCCATCCTTCCTGCTACCCCCAGAGTGGCCAGCCAGAGCCAGAGCCACTCAGGCCCCAGAGAGGTGCCCCCTGAGGGAGGCCACCTGCCTCCCTGGGGCCAGCTGGCAAGAGGGGCAGCCGCGTCCTTCCAGACCCAGCCCACCCCACTCCAGGCTGCCTGAACTGCCGCACACGGCCCCGGCGGGCTGGAGGGAGGAGGACCAGGCTCTGCGCGGGTGGAGGTGGGAGCCTGAGTGATGCTGGGCAGCTCTGGGGCAAAGCCCCCACGCAGGTGCCGATCCAGGGGAGCTAAGAAGCCCTGGAGGCCGGGTCCTCGGGGGCTGGCCCCTTCCCGGTGGGGACAGGCACGCAGAGCATGTCCTGAGGGCAGTGAGGAAGAGCGTCCACGGTCGCGGCTCCTGCCGTCCCTGCTGCTCGCCGCGCCCACCACCTCCCCCTGGACGCGGGCGCAGAGCACCCGTGGGGGGGGGGGCCTCCCCACAGCTCGCGGACGCTGAGACCCAGCGCCGGCTCCCGAGGCCACGCGCCCGGGCCGGGCCGCGCCACAAACGCGCAGAAAGGGCCTCCGAGGGCCCAGCCCGGCCCGCCGCGAGCCCCCGCCCGCCGCGGTGTGGAGGTCGCCTCCCGCCCAGGCCCCCGGCCACGCTCTCCGGGGGAGGCCGGGGCGACCCCCAGACCGGCCGAGGGGCAGGCCTGGTCCGGCGGGCTGGGGGCTCTGCGCGAGGGCGCCCCCGCGTCCCTCGCCAGCGGGCCGGACCCCTGAGGGCGGGGTCCCGAGGGGAGCGCGGTCCCAGGCGGGGTCCCGAGGAAGCGCGGCTGTCCCGGTGCGACCGCTGGGGGCGGGGCCTCGGGAGGGGCGGGCCTCGGGGCGGGGCGGGGCCTCCTGGCGGAGCGGGGCCTCGGGGCGGGGCCTCCAGGCAGAGCTGTGCTGCGGGGCGGGGCCACCGGGCAGAGCAGCGCTGAGGGGCGGGGCCTCAGGGGCGGAGCGGGGCCTCGGGGCGGGGCGGGGCCTCCGGGCAGAGCGGGGCCTCGGGGAGGGCCGGGGCGGGGCCTCGGGGCGGGGCGGGGCCTCCGGGCAGAGCAGGGCCTCGGGGAGGCCCGGGGCGGGGCCTAGGGGCGGGGCGGGGCCTCCGGGCAGAGCGGGGCCTCGGGAGGGCCGGGGCGGGGCCTCCGGGGCGGGGCCTCCGGGGCGGAGCGGGGCCTCCGGGCGGGGCGGGGCCTCCGGGCAGAGCGGGGCCTCGGGGCGGGGCCTCGGGGAGGGCCGGGGCGGGGCCTCGGGGCGGGGCGGGGCCTCCATAAAGCGGCGCCCGGCCCGCCCGGCTCGCGGTCCGCCCAGCATGTTCGCGGGGCCGCCGGCCGCCCGCGGGCTCCTGCCGCTGCTGCCGCTGCTGCCGCTGCCGCAGGTGGGTCGCGGGGCGCTCGCCGGCTCGCCGCGGGGGGCCGCGCCCAGACGCGCCCCGCCCGCTCACCCTGTCTCGCAGGTGGCGCCGGGCCTCGCGGAGGGCGGCTGCGACCCCTCGGAGCAGTAAGTCAGGGGGCGGGGGGGGGGGGGGGGGGCCGGGCCGGGCCCCGCCTCAGGGGAGGCGCGGGCGGAGCGCTCGGCCTCCCGTGCCCGCGCGCTCCAGGTGCCGCCTCCCCGCAGGTGCCCGCCCCAGGCCCGCTGGAGCAGCCTGTGGCACGTGGGGTAAGTGGAGGCCGCGGCCCACTCGCAGCCCAGGGCCCGCCTGCCCCAGACGCCCTCCCGCCTGCCCCGGCCTCCAGGCGGCCCCCTGGCAGGCCCGGCCCCTGCGGCCTGCTTGCCCACCTCCCGCCCCCGCCTTCCTTGCCCTCGCGGGGCCCTGTGAGCGCGTCATGGTCTGGCCGGGATTGTGCAGCAGGCCTGGGACAGTGTGTCCTGGGAGTGAGCCCAAGGCCACTTGTGGCCAGCCCTGGAGGGACAGCAGCAGGCGGCCAGGGCGGGCTGGTCCTCAGGCCCAGCTCTGGCCAGAAAGGAGGCCTTGGTCTGGAGACGCGTCCTCTGACCTTCTCCCTGTCCCTGTCCTCTCTGGAGCGCTCGGGCTGTGACTGTCCACAAGGACAGCGACCGTGGCCAGGGGCAGTCCAGTGCCGGGTCTTGCTCCTCCCCGCCCAGGCTTGTCCTGCTTGCTGTCGTCCTGCTGTTGCTGTGTGGGGTCACAGCCAGCTGTGTCCGGTTCTGCTGCCTCCGGAAGCGGGCGCACGCCCAGCCACACCTGTCCCCAGCACTTCGTCCCGGCGACCTGACGGTCATCCCTGCAGACAGCGACAGTCCCGCACACAGCACTGTCACCTGTGAGTGCCTGCAGACCTCACCCAGCGCCCGCCTGCCACCTGCAGGGGAGATGGGGCGGGAAAGCCAGACCCCCACAAACCCACTCTGGTCCCCTGCAGCCTACAGCTCCGTCCAGGACCCGCTGGGCTTGAGGATGCCCCTGCCCTTTGCGGAGCTGGACCTGGACTCCATGACCCCACCTGCCTACAGTCTGTACGCTCCGGAGATGCCGCCCTCTTATGATGAGGCCATCAGGATGGCCAAACCCAGACAGGAAGAGTTGCCCCCCTCCCAGTAGCCCAGACGCCCCCTCTCTGGGAGCCCGGGGCCCCTCAAAGGGGTGCAGGGAAACTCTTCAAGCCTCCCAATACCGCCAGCCGTTCTGTGCTGAGGGGACCAGTGCAGAGACACTTGGCGCCAGGGACCCCAGGCAAGGCCGGCCGTCCAGCACGTTGCTGCAGCCCTGGCCTCGTTGCTATGTGACGGCCCCTGGCCCAGTCCCAGCAGGCCTGGTCCCAGAGGAGGTCTCACAGGCAAAGCCTCAGGTCTCGGGGCCTGCGGAGCCGTCCCAGCGCTTTGGAGAGAATAAAGTTCGCATCTAAGTGGTGTCTGCTGTGGGCAAGGCGGGCGCCCGAGCTGGCCCGCAGGCTGTCCTGAGCCCAGAGCAGGTGTCGCACAGCGGGATTGGCATGCCCAAGGCCGGCCCTGAAAACCCTGTCCTCTCCAGACCCACATCCCATAGTCTCCTCTCCAGGCTGGAGACAGCGAAGCAGCACACATCTGGCTGGAGAGTTTACTGTCCATGGCAAGGGCAGGAGCGGGGCAGGGCGGACCCGGCGGCACGGGGGTGGCAGTGTGCTGCAGCCGCCGCTCCCACTCAGCTCCCCGGTCATCATGGCCACGAACTCTGCGGGCAGAGGGACAGGCCAGCTGCTTGGCCACCCAGCCCCTAGGCCCTGGCCCGGCCTTGTCAGCCTCCGCCTCACCTGCTTGGCCTCCTCCTCATCCAGGGGCTCACCCACATCGGTCAGCACATTCGTGCAGAGGCCCTTGAGCGCGGAGCCTGTGGGGCCCGACTCCCCACCTTCTGCCCACCCGGCCGGGTCCGTGTGTCCCAGTCGATGAAGCCTCCGCCCTTGGCTCGCCTCCTGGGGCTGGGCTTCTCCCAGTGAGTTCCCGTTGAGGCCGGGACGCTGTCGCAGGTGAAGCGACCAGCTCCCCTGGTCTGTGGGGAGCAAGCAGAGGGTGTGAGCTAGGTTGCCCCCGGGCACACGCAGGCCCCCCCCCCCGGCCTCGGCCAGCTCGCCATCTGCCCACCTCCTTGGCCATGGAGACCAGCTCGCTCCTGGTGGGGTTGATGCCCAGCAAGCTGGTGAGCCGCTCCGGCTCACCGTCCTCACCTGCCCACCCCTCCTCACCAAACACCCCGTGCTCTTTGGCCTGCAGGCCGCCAGGTGCTTGGTCCGGTGCACGGGCCGGCCAGCGTCACCGGGGTCCCCGCCCTGAGCACAGGCGAGTCGGGGCCCTAGGACACGGCACCCGCCCGTCCGCCTGCGCGCAGTCCCTGAGGGCTGGGGGCCTAGAGGAGGCTGCCAGCCAGAGCAGGCCCCAGGCAAGGGGCACAAGTGCAGGGCCTGGAGACAGCAGGACTTGGTCAGACCAAGGGGAAGGGCCCGAGAGGCGGGGCGCCGCAGGGCCAGCGCCCCGGGGAGCAGCAGGGCTGCAGGCCAGTTGGGCCAGGCCCAGGCCCTACGGCCAAAACAGCGGCTGGGCCGAGGCTGGGCAAGGAAGTCATGGGCCGTGCAGGCAGAGCCAGGCCGGGGCAGGGGCTTCCACCCGCACGAGACGGGCGTGGAAGCACACAGGGCCCCGGTCACCCGGCGCCTGGCCACACACCGGCCCTGGGAGGAGGGCGGCGCGGAGCCAGCGGGACCAGGCCTCAGCCCTCCACTCTGCCCCCTCCAAGCAGCCTCCCTGAGTGTCTTTCTTGGGTTCCCAGAAAGGCCCTGGCCCCTCTGGGCACAGCTCCCTTGCCTGTGTCTGCGGGCCCTGCCCCTCTCCCCACCAGGGTGCTGTTCCCAGCTCCCTCCCCCCTGCCCACAGGGCCCCCCCAGCACACAGGATCCCCCGAGCTTGGCCTTACCACGTTTGCCACCCAAGCAGTCTTGGCTGGGCAGCCCCAGAGCGTGCAGCTAGTGCACGAGGCCAGCCGTGGCAGCTGCCGTTCAGCTGGGCTGGCGGCCTGGGGTCCCCAAAGTGCAGATGCCATGGCCTTTTATGACTAGGGGGCCCTGCTGGCCCTCAGGGCAGACTTGCGCCCCCACTTCAGCCCGGGCCCTCCTCAGGTCGCCGGGGCCACACAGGGATGGACACTGAGGGCCCTAAGCAGAGGGCAGGAAAGGACCGGCCTGTGATGGGGCTTTGGAGTCTTGCCACCAGCTGGGTGCTCCCACCCCTTTGCTGTGGATTCTCAACTTGTGCCAACACACAGTGCCCTGCCCCCATAGGCGCATGCCCCACAGGCAGGAGCAGGGGCGTTCGGGACCCTCTGCCCCTCTGCCCGCCCCTGGGGAGGGGTGGAAGCCACCAATGGAAGGGAGAAGCTGGGCACACTGGAGCTGCTTGGGGAGTGGCCTCCCTTCCCCCAGAACAACAGGTGGCTCCTGGGAGCTCAGGTGGGTGGCCTAGAAGCTAGTCTGGACAGATGGGCATGGAGAGACAGCTGCCCGCTGCTCAGCCGTGACACTCGCCCCTCCCGCCCCCCACCAGGGCCCCACACCAGCCGCTCTCCTCAACCGGGCCTCCTCGGGCTCCATGAGCACTGGCAGTGCCCCTGGCCTGGCTGACCCCTCAGCACCACCCTGATCAGTAGCTGTGGCTTCATGTGGGACCTCACAGTGGAGGGCAGCTCCCCCTCGGCCCTGCCCAGGGATAATCAAGAGGACCCCCACCTTCTTCCCCCACCGCATGCACGGCCCTGAGTCACGCGGCCAGGATCCGGCCGGTCTGGCAAGCGAGGTGCCCCATATCCCTGACTCAGCCTCCAGCACAGCCCTCGCAGGGGCCCAGCCCGCCCAGGGCACGCTTCCTGTCCAGGCCGTGCCAGCTGCTGAGACCAAGTGATCTGTGCTGACAGGTGCAGGAAGGTGCCAGTGGGCCTGGAGGAGACGCCCACTCTGGCCTTGGGGCGTCCCACCTCCGTCCTTGGCCGCCCTTGGCCTCAGCTTCTGCGGTGAGGAGAGATCTTCGCACCCCCTCCACAAAGCTCGCAAGGGCAGGAGTGTGGGGGAGCAGCGCACCCCGAAGCCTGGACACGGCGGGCTCGGAGAGCCTTGGCCAGCGCAGGCGGCCCCGGGCCTAGGCACGGCAGGGCTGGCTCCAGCGTCCCTCGAGCTGGGCTGTGGCCCCGTGTTCACTCCGACACGAGACATCGCCATGACGACGTGTATTGTTCATGTAGTACAGTGGCGAGATGGGTCCCCCGAGGAGGGAGCGCTGGCCGAGCCACCGTCCATTAGTCTGCTCTCTGCGGGGCGGGACACGGAGCTGACGCGGACCCCTAAGCGTGTGGAGGTGGGCCGTCAGCAGGCTGTCCTGCAGCAGCTCCAAGCCGCTCCTGTGGAGCAGAAACGTGGCTTGAGCCCCCCAAGTCCCAGCCTCTCCTGCTGCCCGGATGTGACGCCCCTGAGCATGACCGCTCCCGAGCGTGACCGCCTCCGAGTGTGACGCCCCGGGTCCCTGAGCAGTGCAGCGGGCAGTGCAGGCAGTGTGTCCTCTGGGCCCGGCCAGTTCACCGCCGTGTCCTCGCTTGCCAGTGGGGGGCTGTGACCACAACGCTTCTCTGTGGGGCCTGGCCTGTGTGGCGGCGCCGCCTGACCCGCTCCTCTGAGACAGTCTGGGCCTTTGGGTCCGGTAGATGTACGCAGCCAGCGCGGCCATCTCGGTCACCTGCGGGCCTGCATTCCCACGCGAGGTCAGAGCTGCCCGGTCAACAAGCCCCGGGAGCACCACCCCTACAAGGCGCCTTCAAATCACGCTGGGAAAGGCGGGCATCACGAGGAGCGCCTGGGGCCAAGGACCGATGTGTGACAAGGGGCCCCAGAAGCTGCTCAGTGGACGCCTCGGTGATAAGGTTGGAACCGCGCTGGGTCCGGATGACAAAAGCACGTTCTTTAGTCTCACCCATCTTTCTGGCCCTCCTGCCCACGTCACTGATCAGATGATGATCCATCAATAAAGGCCAGGGTCTCGCTCGTTCAGCGGCGTCCTGCACTGTGCAGCCGGCCCACGGCGCCCGCGGGTCAGTGTGGTGGTGCCGAGACAACACGGGCTGCTTCCTCCTTGACAGCCGTGACTCTTGCCGTGAAGCTGGGGGTGGGCATTGGCCTGGAGGTGGCCAGTCACCAGGGATGCAAAGCCGAGGGCCCCTGACAGCCGGCTCTCGGGAAGGCGGTCCCTCCGTCGCTGCGGGGACACGCCTGACCAGGCTGGAGGACGGGCCTCAGGCCACAGCCACAGCCCGGGGGCGCGTCCCCTCCTGTGGCCTCTCACCTCCTGCACCCCCAGGGCATGGCCCCCCGCCTGCCGCCACGGCTCCTGTCCTTGTCTCAGGGAACACTTGGGGGCCCTGGCTGGACAAGACCAGCTGGCACCCAGGGGACACGGGAGGAGGCTGTGCTGAGGACGGCCAGCGCCGGCAGCCCAGGCGCCCGCGAAGGGTGAGAGTCCTGGGACGCCTCCGGAAGGCAGCGCTGGGTCCCGCGGTCCGGCGGGACAGAGGAGGGACCGGCGCGCGCGCCTCACAGAAGGGGCGGCCACGGGAACGCGGGGCGACCGACCGGCAGCAGCGGAGACGGCAGTGAGGGCCGTCCCTGCCAGCCGGCGCCAGCCCCTGAGCAGCAGGGCCCCGGGCAGAGCCAGGCTGGGCCCGGCTGCCCGTCATGCCCGGCGGGGCCGGCGCCAGGCCGGGAAGAGACGCCGCCCGCGCCCGCGAGCGGACGGTCGTGCTGACCTGGTCTCCCAGCAGGGTGGGGGTGCCCGGCGGCCCCCGGAAGCCCGCCACGCAGCGAGAACCGGGGAGCCGCCCCTCCCTCCGCGCGGGCGCGGGCGGGCGCGGTACCCGGAGAGCCGCAGCCCGGCCCGCGCCCCAGAGACGCGCCTCCGAGGCAGGTGGGCCGGCCGGGGCGCCCCAGGGCGGGGGCCGAGGCGGGGGCCGTCACCCCAAAGTCGAAGGCAAACACGGGGGCTGCTGAGAAGCCGGGGCCGGGGCCACACCGCGCAGGGGGCGCGCGGGGCGGGGCGCGCGGGCCACCCCAGCCGTGGGGGACGCGGCCTCCGCGGCGGGCTGCCCGTTAGCTGAACGCCCTCTGGGATCGCGACGCGCCCCGCGGCCGCCGGGGTGACGCCCTCACGGCCTCCGCGCGAGCAGGGGAGAGAGCGCGGCGCGCAGGGGGCGGAGCTCGCAGGTGCGCCCCGCCTTCCCGGCGCCGCTCACCCCCGCGGCGACCGCGCCTCCGCTCGGAGCCCCGCCCACGCGAGCCGCTCGCCCCGCCCCGTCACGCCCCCAGACCGCCACGCCACGCCCCGGCACGCCCCGGAACGCCCCGGAACGCCACGCCCCCAGACCGCCACGCCCGCCCCCAGACCGCCACGCCCCGCCCCCGGCACGCCACGCCCCGGCACGCCACGCCCCCAGACCGCCACGCCACGCCCCCGGCACGCCACGCCCCCAGACCGCCCTGCCCGGAAGCGGCTCCACCGGGCGGCTCCACCGGGCGGCGCTCGCGGCGGCGCGGGGGGCCGGGCAGTCCGGGGCTCGGAGTCGGGCCTCGGGGGTGGGAGCTGGGCGGGGGTCACC